GCTACTGTATTATATTAGCTTGCATTATATACTGATGAATGTCAGTAAAAAAAATGGTGTTGGTTGTGTTAGCTGGTCGTGGTGAGTTTAGGTGGGTGTTGATTAGAGGTTGTGTGGGTCACGTGACAAGCGAGGATGAAAACATTTGACATTCCCGCCAAACTCCCTCCCCACGCCGCCTTGTAGCCGCCCACTGCACAATAGAACTAAGCTCAGGGAACATATTAGAATGATATTTACGTTCAGTAGATAGTATAATAGTGATGGTGTGATATACCATATGTGAGTTGTAATATGACTGAATGTTGACACGAGTAGGAAAGAAACGTTTTTATCCTGCAACATTGATTTCTGTGGCTAATTCTATAGATCAAACCAATCAAGGTCACTGTACAATAATTTCAGATTTGCTGGTGGTGTCGCCAGTTGACCAAAAACTTCATGTTAATAGGTATCGCTCAGCAGATTGATTATTTATTTTCTTGAAAATTATAAATTGCACATTAATTGCACGTCTAAGTTTCTTGTGTATGACAACGCTGTAGATTAACTAGGCCAAGAATACAATTTTTTTATTATATTTATATTTTAACCGCGATAATATGACAATAATCGACGCATCCTGCACAAAATGGGAAGGTTGGGGTGGATCTACTCTCACGTTCCCGACTACTATCCCTTCATAGCTACAGTATGTATACACTGACTGTAGGAGCACAGTGTATCAGCTCTGATTTTACGGAATATTTTATTTTTTAGACAATAAATTTTATGTTGATCAGTCAGTAAGTTTGAGAAATACTAAAAGTGCCAATTATCGTACCTCCGTTGCAGGGCGTGAGAGCGTCTGGCAGAAACAATCGCAGGTGCCATGTGTGGCAGTTGAGATTCTTTTTCCTGTGATTCTTATAACATTTATAAATTTGGTAAAATGTGACGACAAGTTTCTGTACTTTAAATAATTGTTGGGTCATTTTCGTAATGGGGAGTTGCGCTACAAAGCACTTTTAAGTTTAAAACAATGTAGCTTTGGCATATTTGTTGGCGCGTCTCCACCAATAGCCTGGCACTAGGCTAGATAGGCAAGTACGTCACTATTAAGTGACGTCACCTCACCCCAGAATCACTCAGTGGTTGAAGTTTTAGCGGGGAGTGTGGAGGCCGTTCTTCAGTGTCGGATTAATCTCAGTATTTCTTATTCTTTTCGGATTGGACTTGGTCACCGACAGAAATAATACGTAAGTGGTAGCTTTTGTGTAAGAACACAGGCGTGAAATTCTAGGAAGTGCTTCGAATCGAGGTGGGAGTGGTTGGGGATAGGCAGTAAGTACAGGGTATTTTGCAAATAAAAAGTAGTAAGAATTCCGGCCTCCAACCAACAGCAGACAATTACTGTAACATGAGTTGGAAACGAATGCTGTGGCTTAAGATAATTAATCAACGTTGTCAGGTTATATTCAGGAATGAATATCGGTTGCCTTCGTAACAGGTTAGGCAGCACGTGTGGCGTCTGTTACTGTGGTAAGGCGTGAGTTACCGATGCTGCCCTTGACGTTTGAGTTGTCAATATCACACAACGTCTCTTACTTCAACTCGTGAACTAGTGTCATGTGTGGATTTAGCGGGTAGTGAATGGTCTTCACGAAGTTTTAGCTTGTGATCAGAATGTAAACACAAGCCTTGCAGTACAATAATAAATGCACTCAACTTCACATGCACTCAGCAACACATGCACTCAGCAACATGGCACCCACCACACAAGCACTCGGCAACATGACACAAAAGTCGCCAACATAACGCAAAACGGTTTTACCGCAACTTTAGCACAAACGCAAAATGGCTATAACGCACACTAGCACACAACACTAACTTGGCACACAGCAGTCACACAACAGATATATTGTAATGAAATGTCTGTTTTTCACCGCTGGGTTTTAAGTTGGGTAATGTTTGTCCTTATTTTCTAAAGACTGGCCTACCGACTCGGGGTCTGGCTCTCAGTCAAGTTTTAGTGAGTCAGTTATGCGTAGCTTATGTAAAAATGGCAGCGAAAACAGCCGACGAGGCCTAACTTTAAGTTTCAAGTTAATTTGCTGTGAGTTAAAGCCATTAATTTGGTGCACGTGGTTACTGTTACAGTAATGGGGCAGCAGTGTATTGTTATACATTTTGTAGCGTCAGATGATACAAGGTCTTTGTGTCTGTCAATCGAATTATTTAATATGGAACAGGCATCGTTTTACACCCTAATAAAATAAGATTTTTAAAAACTCGCTTATAAGGAATCGGATTTTTTCTTCAAACAAATTCGAATATTTTTTCTTAAAATTAAAATGCTTTGGTGTTTTGGGATTTTTAATTTGGATACGATTGATGTCGAGAATGGAAAACTTTTCCCTATACCTGCGCAGGATGTTGTTTCGTTGGGGATAATGCCGCTCCCTTCCTCCCCCATCCAAACCTTTACCAAACAGCTACACGAATAAGTAAAGTCGATAATTATCCTGGATGTGGATACTAGTACCTCATTCGATTAGTATTTTAGGGCATTGTAAGATGAGGTTTTAAGGCCGTCAGATGAATTCAAATGACATAATCGAAATCATGACCTGAAAGAAGTTGCACTGGATATTTTAAGGGCTGTTACGATGACAACAATCAATTCTAAGACTACACAATGAATCTAAATTAAATGTAGGGCTACAAGAGGCCGACTGAACTAGAAACGGTTTACGAACGAAAAATCACAGGAAAAGAATAATGGACTTCCTTAAAAAAAATAAACTTGGGTATGCAAAATGTGAGTTAGGTTAGGTCGGATATGTTGAGTTATGTTAGGTTGAATTAGGTTACCGTTATGTTACATTAGGTTCTGTTATGTTAGGTTGGGTTATGGTAGGTTTGGGTGAGGTTAGTTTACGTTGGGTTATGTAGGTTTGGGTAAGGTTACTTTACGTTGGGTTAGGTTAGGTTAGGTTAGTTTGTGTCTTACCGTCTTAGAAAACTTAGGAGTTCAGTTGACTGGGAGATCGTTGGTTCTTCTGTTTTTGTGAGGAGGAACTCATTTATGCGCAGCTCCGTGTCTTGGCTACTACTGGTGTGGGTAGTGAATGGGGGAGGCTAGCAGGGGGGGGGGGGTTGTTGTCGTGGTTGTGGTTCCTGATCGCTGAAAAAAGTTTGAAGAGTAGTTATCTAGTTCCAAACAATCTTCCTTTATGTTCGTTTACCCTACACATGAAGTCTCCCTTAAATTTTCCGGTGTATGTACCACCTAAGGTTTCACAATTAATAAACACCAAGATTGTAATTCCCTCGTATCAAACCCTGAAATAGGAACACTAAAATTATACTCGGAAAAGAGCGCGCTCCTCAATAGGAAATATTACAGACTATTTTACAAAATCCACCTTTATTGGAATACTTATTTTTTTTACTGCCAAGAGGACTCTGTACGGTAAAGCGCGTAGGGATGTGACGTATATACTGTAGCTGGTGATGATGGTATCGACGTTCTCCAGGAGGTGATAAGGAGGCACTAATGAACACGCCGCTCGCTATCTTTAGACCCCGCCGTTTCCTTGGACTGGGATCTATTTTGTAAAGTTATTATTACGGTTAGTTTTACGTTGTGTTCTCTCCCGGATTATTTGCTCTTTAAGATTAACCACCCTAACGCTAACCTAACGTCTGAACTTCCCAGGTGAAATAAGCCTGGGGGCTAATGTTCAGGTGATCCGTGTGTATTTTCACGTACGATAGAGGGATTCAAGTTGGTCCATGGCAAGAGATACATCTCGAGTCTTACAAACACTGGCGTTATCGACGGTCAGATATATCTCGACATTATCTGTTCCTTTACAATAGTGGCGACTGTGTTGAAGTCGGTGCTCTGTGGTGCCCTTGTTGGTCGCCATCCCCCACCACACGTGACTGATAACTACCCTGTTATTGTCACTGCCCCAGACAGAACTCTCTTGTTTAGTGTCGGGACATAGTGACACCTGGCTGTTGTAAAAATTACACACTTCTTTTAGTAGTACCCTTCTATTATCAGCTTAGCAGTAGAGAGGGGTGGTTAAAGCATTTTTTTCTGGATGTGTGTGTGTTTGTAGAGCTTATAAAACCAGTGATTGTTAATAATATTTGAGCGAACTAGATTTGTGACCGGGAGCGACAGCTTTAAGAAATTGAGCAAGTTTTGAACATGTGCAGGTTCTCTTCAAGAAAACTCTGTCACAGGTGGGGCAGAACCTCATCGCCACAAAGAGAATGTCTGTTAAAACAGACATTCTGTATCTCGTGATACGAGAAGCAAATGTCCCTCCGCAGTACACTTCGTATCGTGTGGAGGTTAGGATTAAATATACGTGGTAGTATGTTCATTTTATTGCGTTATGTAGTGGAGTGTGAAAACGCGGGTTGGGGGGGTAAGTGAGCGCGTGGGATGAATCCGTCGCCTGCCCACGTTGTCCCGCTCAGTTGTGTTTTGGTCTTGTAATGGGGAGGTTCTCTGCGCCTATATTCCATCGTTCCCGTTCTCGTTGGCTGTTTTGGTGATCCTATCCCATACTACATTTCCAGGCCTCCTCATGAATTATTATCAAGTATGTTTGTTGCTGTGAACAGTATGTTGTTAGGAAGAAATTGTACAAATCTTGATTTTAAAACGGGCGGTAAGTTTGTGGAGTGTGTCAGCGTAGACGAGTTAGCAAGTAATGGACATGGAATCTCGCAAAAAAATGCAAGGACTTAGTGAATGCATACATTGAAGTATTATATATATTTTCTTTTTCTTTGATTGGTTCAGTAAGAATTAATTTTCATTTTAATACAAAGTGAAGCTATAAACGAGCTTACAGGACAACACATTGTGAAGTGATAATACGTTGATTTGTCTTAAAAGTGATCATTATAGTATTGTACTCGAACTGTAGATACTTGGTTGGTGAATGGTTACCGTGTTAATATTTGCAGAAGTACTATTAATGTGTGTTCCGTTTCAACTATGTCCTCTGATGTTTACGTTTTTAGTTGCAAAATGGGCTCCACATTTATGGGTCGTATTCCCACGAAAGAAAAACAAGAATAATGCATTGCCACAATTTTTAGTAAGTATTACCCTTGTTGTTTTTGTGATGGTGTTTGTTGTGGTGTAGTTACGATGGGATTCGTAAATACAATAACACTTATCTCGTTGGCTTAGCCCTTCAGGGCACAGGTCAATGATTAGGAAGCGTCCTACATACTACGGTATTGTATCCTCGTCTTCATGTACAATTGTTTTTTATCTTATGTGAAAATGATAAGTGAATTTATGATTGAGGATGAAGGTAAGATTGTGGGCATGAGTAGTGAGGATACTGCCTAGAGATGAATGGGTAGCTATGTATTGCATCATGTTACCGTAATATTGACACAAGCTCACGTCCCCTCCACCTAGCCTTTTATATTGTAGTATTAAAAATATTCTACAATGATATGTATGTTGTCGGAGATAATTAGCAGTGTAGTTTATCATAAGAAAATTCGAAGGTGTCATTGTACAGGGGTACCTAGTGACAGCACTAGGATCCCGCTTCCTCTGTCAAGGAATAAACAATTGAAATCGAATTGAAAATTCGAAGAGGGTGACAGCAGGTTCAAAGTAAGTCTACGGGTTAAACACTGCAAGTTTTGATTACGTAGCAAATGGTGGTGTGAATGTAAATATTTTAATTGACTTGGCACTTAATGTAAAAAAAAAAGTTGATAATAAGCGATTTAATTCTGTGTTTATGAGGACAATGTTAAGCTTAATGAATTTATTGTTTTGGAGTGTATCAATTAATTTTTTATACTTCTTAAATGGGCCGGGGATATCTAACGATGCACGACTCTTCATATCTTGTTTTACTTCAGTATATTTAGTGAGTTCATATACAGCTACAGTATACTGAAAACATGTAAATGTTTGTACCGTGCATGTTGGAAGTTATGGAGTGGTGAGACGTCAGTGTCATTGAGCTGGAAAATCTAGCCTCTAATTCTGAAAGTACATGTGAAAAATTGACCTGTGGTTTGTAAGAAAGATTTAATGCTTGGAGTAATGGTGACCACGTCGTCTTTTTACCTTGGGTGATAAACTGATGTAGGCTGGCCGGGGCTAATCATATAGACAAATCTCGTCATTATCTCTCGACAGGAGCTGCCATGCACAGGCCAACCGGCCTATTGCAGACTCCTTATTTTCCTATGTTCTTATGGTTAATGACTTGAGAAATGAAGTTCTCTGGAGAAACCTAAGCTAATTAACTTCGTGAGACGTGACGAGATTGTCCGTGCAATTGGCCGCGGTGTGCTAAGTTTGATTTTATCTGATTTTTTTTAGTAAAGATTCATATCATTACAAGCATACATAAAAAGTAATACTTATTATCAATTTCTAGTCACTATGTCAGCGAGTCTGTGTAACTAGAGCATGATGGAAATGGGTAAACTACTGTAAGTGCCCTATCTTGTTGTGGTAAGTTTTGTATCACTGTGCGTGTCATTGTATTTTAATGTATGCCACGTGTTCTGGTCCTTCAGGGTAACGGTATGCAGCGGCATGACTCAGAGCCGCTGTTTGGGGACGATGTGTACCAGCTACTGCGGGATGATTCACTCCTGCTCCGTACTGGGTCCAACAACTTCGCGGCCCTGATAGAGCCCGCAGAACCACCCGTGTCCCGCGAACAAGAGCAGAATGACACCGGTCATTTTCAACAGATCCCCCAACAGCAACAGCAGCAGCACATGCCTTTAACTCAGTCAACCACCAGTGACCAAGTTTTAGTAGTCAACAATACGGAAAACATGTTTTACCAAGTTTCCACTTCTCAGCAACAGCAGCAGTCTCAGGGTCAACAAACATCATCTGGGCAACGTGAAGAACAACAGCAACTAGAACAAATAGACATCCCCTGGAGCACAGTTGATGACAATGACGCGATTACGGTAAGGATCGATTAACATAGGCAATAAAATTAGGTAAGTTGACACTACTCACTGGAGGGAGGGGGAAACATAATAATGTTTGTATAGTTTATTATACAAGATTATGTTTACTTAGTAATTTAATACAGACGTGTGGTTTATCTCGGAATAAATTAACGCGTTTGGGAGGTTCTTGTGTTCGATTGTTGGCTATACAGGTAACCAAAAGATTTCAGGTTTATAGCCCCCGATTTGCCTAATTTAGGTAGCTTAATTTGGACATGTTATTCGTTTGGATCAGTCTCATAGACGCAATGAATTGATTGTTGGTGTTATTATTTTTTTTAAATCTATCGACTCTGTCGTATTCCAAATGTTCGTAGTATTTATTTTAGTAACATGAAATTTTTCAATAGAAATAAGTGTTTTGTCAATAGTTATAAGTAATTAATGAACAATTACTGTACATTACTACAGTATCTCCGGTATCGGGTCGGTGACATCGTCGCTGACGCACTCTGTTGGAACACACCTCGCTGCTGCAACCGTGATTAAACTTAATGAAAATATCAGGAATACTTGTCAGTTTTTCTTTATTTTAAGTCTTGAATTCTCCAGGGTGTAGGTGTAGCCTTTGTGTATCAACATCTCCATTAGTTACCCCTCTTATGATATATTTTGGGGGCTATGCGATTGTCCGGAGTGAACTAACGAGCGTGCTAGAACCTGTGGCGAGTGGGACGATGCCAGCGTACGATGATCACAGTTTCAAATATATTACAAATAAATAGTTTTTCTTATGTGCAGTATTTATGAATTATAGTAATCTCGAGATGACTTGGTTATTGTTAAGATTACAAAAGTAATGTGTATATATATCAAAATAAGCGAAAGAAACGCGTAAAATAGAGATAGAGTATTTGGCTGGTAGTATGATTAAAAGTGGCACGACAAGTGAGGGTTGGGACCCAGGGGTTGTTCTGTTCCTTGGGACCCAGGGGTTGTTCTGTTCCTTCCTTCTGCTACTCGGCGAACAGTCCTCTGCTAAGCTGGATATTCTACGAGAAGGATATTTTAGTACTTTGATACCAGTTAAGGAACTGTCAGCAGCCCTGAAGGATGATTCTCTTGGAACAGGTAGTAGTATAAAGCTATAATTTTCACACTGAACTACGACATATTTTGGATTTTTTATTTGATTATTCTCGTAATTATTATGTTAAATTGAACAAGTTTTGATGCGGTTTATTTTTCTTTATTTAAATGGGAAATGATTGGAAATTGACGTTCGTAAATAGCCCCACAACTTTACCGAACGCTCTACTGTGTAACTCGTAGTATAAATTATTTTAGTTCAGTAATGATTTCCTTTTCAAAATACTTATTATTTTTATGAGGGACGAAGCACAGTGTGTACCGTATATCAGATAATTATAACATGGTTTTTTGCCGGTGATGGTGGGAGTCAGTCAAGGCGCGGCTTCATTCCATATTGAGCTCGCATTCAGCATCGGCAATGCTTAACCCAACACGTCGAATACAAAGTGAATCATATATTGAGACTTGATTTGAATTGGGAATTTTTCCTCTATGATTTACGATAAAAAGGGGTGATTTACTTGTTTTATGTAGTACTTGCATAACCTCGCCAAAGATTTCACCCATTAGCTATACAGTACAATATACTATACTGTGTCGATCCTTTGTCTTGTCATATGGAAGCGTCAACATTAACATGAAAGTTATGACATTATGTTCAAGGGGTTAAGACATTGTACTCAAGGGTTTAAGTCACCATATTCAAGGGGTTAAGTGGTCCTAAGAATGGTTATTAGTCAACATACTCAGCGACCTGCCTCACTCGTCAATAGATTGACATGCACCTTCACTACACCCTATTAGGAAAATCTCTTGCCATAATATGCAAGTGAACTTGTAGGTACAGTACAATCTACTCAATACATGTATCGGAATCTGGCAAATTCTGGAATTTTGAAGTGCATATTATAAGAATCGTTAATTTTAAGAATCTTGTCGTGCATTCCCATTGTGAGTACCAGTTTAGGAATTCTCATAAGGTGCAGGTCTGTGATTGTTATGAGCATTGTTGTCATAAGGAGAATCTAACGTTGCTTTGTTAGAATACCAGCAGTAAGAAGCTATAACCAAAGACACTGTTTGCTTATTGTCTTCATAACAGGTTCTTACATAATGGTGCGTTCAGCTCAAACCAATCTCTTGAAATACCGTAACTATTATTAGTGTCAATTTCTCTAAAATCTCCTTGTAAATTGGTGTGCCTATTGTCAACCATTGTTGGGAGATGCTCTTGGAGTTTTATCCTTACCAGTCATTGTATTATTACATTGTGAAGTTGCATTGTGACAAAAGAGGATTAAGCGAAGGATTAGCTGAAAGTTGTTTAGTGATTATAAGGACACCACCCATTTTTATTTATTTTTATTCCAACAGCTTCCTACAAGTCATGGGCAGATCAGCCAGCAAGAACAATTTTTGTTACCCATGAATAATATATACCTGCCAGATACAAGTACTCCTCCTCAAAGGGTCCCCTCCCTGAAACCATGGCCTGGCCGATACGAATTTGCCATCTCTATTCCCACTGATAATAAGGACCGCAATAAAGTGAGTAGGAAAGAGTCGTCGTAATGACAGGTTGGCACTTTTTGTTTATTAGCTATCTTCAGCCTTTGAGATATATCAAGAACTATAGGAATAATTGAAATATCTGCATGTTTACTTTTTAAGAACAAGAATACACCGTGGTAACTATAGCTTCGTAGGAATGGAGTAATGACTAAGAAAGTTACTTTTGCCAGGTAAGGGCAAAAACTAAATACAGGATATATGGTTGAGAAATAATTTGAGAGGAGTAAGTGATGCTGCTGAGTGAATGTGGACCATGAACTTAGTGGAAGAATGAGCAGAAAAATATAGTAGCATTGTAAACTGGGTGAAAAGGATATTTCTGGATTATATAATTATTGGTGAGGCTGCTAATTGGAGGCTTCAATGTCCTTTGTACCCCAGACTTAGTACCAATTTGTCATCCAGGGTTAACTTAGTAACTCATTTTGATTCATGAAATCACCATTACCTTCCCCTTCACAAATCTTCAAGATTTGATGTAAGTTCTTTATGCCATTTGCCTTTGTCTACCCAACAGAAATTGGGAATCTGGATGCAAATCTATTTATGGATTGTGTTTTGGGGTAATGGTATAAGTGAGATATTAATTAATGTGCTTTACATAACAGTATTATGACCCTTTTGACTTTCTTGCCAGTGGTGCTTCAGCGAGCTGCAGAAGAAGTTGTACATGTGCCCTACTGTAGCTGTTCCTGTGAATGTGATGTTGAAGGAGTGGGTGGAGGCTTCTGTCATAATAACTCCAGTCTTCAATGACAGTCGATTTCGTATGGAGCCAGTGATGCGTTGCTACAATTGCAAGAGCACACAAGGTAAGTCACCAAGAAGTTATGCGAGATCCATTCATATTATACTTTAATTAAAGTTAAAAGTTAAGAATCATGTTAAACATTTTTAGATGCAAAGTGGTGCTCAACATGCCATTTGACACTCTTCTCTCCTTATCACCACGAGCACCGCTTTCCAACACCTATTTTCATCATGAGTTGCTGATTCTCAACTTCTCATTTCTTGAAATACTATACAGGTACTGTAGTCCTCATCGCATGACATACAGTAATTTAGATTTTTGGAATTTAATTTTTATTGCTAAAATATTTGATTATTGCAAAGTGTATCTTTAATTATTTTTGGCAATGATATTAAGACTAAAAATTCAAATTGCATGCAATAACTTTTGCAGTTGTTTTATGTATTCCAGTTATTAAATGTCAAAAGTGCTGAAAGTGAAGTTTTTATTATTTTTTTCATTCAACCAAAAATGTCGAAAAAACTTTGTTGATACTGTACAGTACAGTCGACCCTCGTTAATTCGGACTAATAGGGGGGGAAGGGTGTCCGTTTAACCGATTGTCCGAATTAACCGATTTAGGGGTTAATATTGCATTATATTTCAAAGTCATTGTTTTCGTCACGACTTTATCCCACTTTCCACTGTAATACGTACGTAATTTCAGCAAAAATATTACATTTCCGTGAATGTATTATATCAAGCACAGTATGAATACAATACCATTGTAATATAACAGTATTTTAACGAAAACTACTAAAACAAATAACATCCCAAGAACATCGGAAGGTTAGGTAAAGTTTTTGTTTTCGTCATGTATTTTATCCTATTTTACATTGAAATACATCACGTTTCAGCAAAACTACTATTTATTTCAAGAATATATTCATTCAGGTGCAGTTTAGGTAAAATATATGTGTGATGTAACAGTTTTTAACTAAAACGATTCGAAAAACACATACCCTCTAGCCCTGTTCAGGAGAGGACTGGGAAGCTGTTAGGTGCTGCGAGCGATGACAAGGAAAATGATTTGGATGAATTTTAATGAAAATATTCAGAAATATGGTATCGTAGTATTTATTCAAGTCAATTAGTATAGGATATTAATGTAATACAACAGTTTTTAACTGAAAACCAATCGAAAAGCAATTACGGTAACATCTTGAGCGAAAGGCGAAGTCATTGTTTTCATCACGTTTATCACTTTCACTAATACCTACGTCATTTCAAAAAAATATTACATTTCCGTGAATGCATTATATCAAGCACAGTATGAATAGAATACCATTGTTATATAACTGTATTTTAACCAAAAACTATTAAAAAATGAGTAAATTCTCTAGAACATCGGAAGGTTAGGTAAAGTCTTTTGTTTCGTCATGTATTTTATCTAATTTACATTCAAATACATCACGTTTCAGCAAAACTACTATTTATTTCCCGGAATATATTCATTCAGGCACAGTTAAGGTACAATATACATGTGATGTAACAGTTTTTTAACTGAAAACGATTAAAAACACGTGTACCGTGTAGCTGATACTCAACAGCTGGTGGTGCGTCATGTGTCGTTGTAAACAATAGGAGGTTGAAGTAGATTACGGTATTATATTAAGTATGAAATATAAAGGTTTTTATTACTGGTAAGATCAATAACTGTGATATACCGTAATGATATGATAAGTTAGCCTGTGCTAAGAACTAACATAGACTACTGAAAACCGTTGTAAGGTAATTTAGCCTATTGTAAGTTGGTGAGCTTCATTTGCTGAAGGAACTGCACAACTTTTCATTACTAATTGGTACAAATTTTACGTTTCCATTGTTTACTGGCAGTAAATGGTAAATATTTTCATGTCTGAAGCTAAGTTGCATCCCCCACACTAGTGGTGGAGAGGTTACATTTGACCAAAAGACACTGGTGTTTTATCCCAGGTGGGTGGACCAGCATTTTAAGCAAGGTCGCGTAGTAATATTCCTACAAATAAAAAAAAAAAAAAAAGGTTCGTTCAGATTTTGTCCGAATTATCCGAAATCCGGATTAAAGGGGTCCGAATTAACAGTCGACTGTATATAGTACTGTATATTTTGAAGTCTTTTATTCTAGATAAAAGTTTTATGAATTGTGGATTATATTCTCACCACTTTGGTATGGTTTAGTATAGTATATCTAAAATATAATTTTTTTTTTTAGATAGTCATTGGTCCCCCACACAACTTGCACTTCACATGGACTGGTAGATGTCTTACGTTTGGAAGTTATATTTGAAGTAAACTTAAAAACACGAATTTCCTAAAATATACAATGAATTTCATGTGTACCTTCCCTTACTGCTTATGAATTTTAACTGGTGGGAGAATGTGTGCAGTCCTCGCACCCATACTGTGACATCCCGAGATGCAAGTAGCTAAACAAATTTCAAAATGCAGGGCTGGAATGAATTCACATTTTCTTTTACGTTCTCAGCTGTTGTTCCTTCGCCACACTCATTTTGTCTAACAACGTCTTATTTCATCTCAAAAAGACACTATCAGTGTCTTGATAAAAATATGCTCTGCAAAGCACTGGCGATTTTGCACTCGTGCATGATTTGAGGATACATACAGTACAGTACTGTATTTCTAAAGGAATATTTGCCGTCATAGGTACACAATTCTTGCTATATGCACATAAGGCCACTTTGTACCAGGCTTCTTACATCTTTCATGCTTTGTACCCCATTTGTACTCCTTTTGATGATTTCTGTTCAGCTGAACTTAATTCTTGCAGTAGTATTGCGATAAACTGAAACACTATGAGGTTATGGATCTTTAGGTCATTGAGCCTAAATTGTGGTAAATGACAATGGCAATATGAAAATTTTGATAAATGTTATTTTGCTTTTTTTCTATTAATAATCAAGTTAAAAGTATTGTTTCTTGCAGCATCTGAGCCAGAGTTAGCTGAACATATAGTCCAAGTAGAAGGGGAAGGCTGTGAGTATGGCATTGCACTTGAGCGAGCCATTGTGATGCCCTGCAGCCCCCACCACCTGGGGAAACTGCTTCTACGATGCTTATCAAACTCATGTGCCTTACATCCTGTGTTGGTGGTCCCAACAGAAGGCTATTTGGCCTCATATTAACTCTTAAAAGCAAGTAAGTGTTTTCTGGTCGAGTTTATCTCAACATTGTGATAAAATTTTTACAGTTAATGTTCTTTTTGTGTTTATAACTGAAGTCTTTACATATAATAAGTATCCCATTCACTAAAATATTTCAAATGCTTTTCACAGTAATACTGGAGAGGAAATCGGAAAGTTTGAATGTCAAATGCTGCCGATGTCCTTCTAGAGACTTGGCGAATAGAAAGATAAGACATGCAAACATTGGATGATGAGCGAGTGCACACAAAGGTATTCTTCAGTTAGTGGTAAATTTGTATGAATGTTATTGATGTGAGAATCTTAATCTGCAGAACTTGTGATTTGTTCAGAATTTTCAATTAAAGAAATTATGCATTGCTATTATTTAGTACAATAGCTATAGCTTTTTTTTTTTTACAAATACTGAAGTGCTAATACCTATGGTTATTTATATCTTGTAAAGTAAATTCTCGACCCATAGACAATAACTATATGACTAGAGAATACCGTTGCTGTGAATCAAAAGACCTGTAGCTGTGGTTGTATTTTAAGTAAATCAAGTATATCGGGGTAAAGGTATGGAAGACTGGAGGAAAAATATGAAAAGTAACAAGGAAATTGACTGCCACTGAAAGCTCGGAAAGATTAAACGAGGGAAAACTCGGCACAGGTACAGACCCTTGTTACTGGATCTCAGAAAACCGGAAATTATCTCCCAGAGTTTTGCTGTTTTCTTCAGTTCATCTGTCTATTACATTTAAATGGGAGGGGGAAGTTTGCCATTTTGTTGAGAATTGGTTGTCCTCAAATGACATGTGGACTTAAACATATTTTTTTAGATTAAGGTTACTGACAAAAAAAACTCCTGTTTCTTTTACCAGGTTAAGAAATTAGCAACAGATACATGATGGGAGTAAAAAGGAGGAGGACTAATATTAAGCTGGAGCCAGGAACTGGCTCACAGTTTGTGGATGTTAAAGTGAGTCTGTCCCTGATCTTGAATGTTTGGTATTTTTGATATATGAATGCTGTAACCCATCAATCTTTTTAATTTATCATAAGGGATTATGTATTTAAATGATTTTCTTGAAATATATATATATTTTTTAAATAACCCAGACTTACTTTGTTTTATGTCCACAGGTACCTAGTCAGTTTGAGAACAAAGTGAAGAGTTACATCAATGTATTGATTCTTCACGAGTATGCCAAAACCCATCCAAGTATGCTAATGTATCCAGAAGCTGGGGAATTATAGGTTTCAGGTGAGAGATTCAATGAAGTGGGAAGATAAAAAAGTTGATATGAACACAGTAAATTATATTCTCGTTAATTTGACAAAAAGGGGGCTATAAGTAACTCAAGTTAACTGAGTTAAGATTATTTTGATGCCCGACAATTTCCAAATTTTATGTTCGTTTTCTTGTTTATTTCCTGTTCAGTTTTTGTGCCTTGCACTGGCTGTCACATAAAACAATCTATAATTACTGTGCAACCATAAATATTTTGTAAAATGTACTAATACAGTAATAAACAATTGTAACACTGCAAGATGAGCTGGCGAGGGGTGTGGTGACTTGGCAAGACACAGCACATACATTAACAGCATTACAGTAAGTCTTCACTTAACGTCGGGGTTACGTTTCAAAAATGCGATGTTATACAAAACAACATTCAGCAGATCTATTTTCCCCACAAGAAATAGATAAAATACAGTAGTTAGGTTCCTGAGCCTACCTTTGTCCCATGAAATACATAAAATCATTGCCATTTCTATAGAAAATAGTGCATACATATATAACTACTAAGATTGTATTGGTACTCACCGATGGGCGGAGGTGGTAGAGCGAGTGTGTGGTGGGTAGTGAAGCAAGAGGAGGTTGGAGGAAGGTGGTGAGTCACTGAGACTGCTCTGAGCCTAGAGGGTGATGCGCCGTAGAAAGTAGTCCGTGACGATGCAGTGTCACCATAATTCTCATATTTAGTTTTGCGTTGATAAAATACTATCGTAAAATAGTCAACTTTCCCCACAAAAAAAAAAAAGAATCCCACACTCAGATGAATCATTGCGTTGCATTAAATTCCTGCCCATTTGTTTAAAAGGGGGTAAACAGCCGATCATCCTAGCTCCCACACCAGCTCTCTCCACATTCCCTGGTTTATTCATTAATCAGTCATCTGAAGTGTACAAGTTGCCAACATGTATCCTTCAAAGGTAATAAATAACATTGTGTGGTGTTTTCATTTCTTAAGGCTATTTATGTAGGAGAGATTGAGGCACAGCTTTCTAAATCCCATGCTTATTTCCTGCTCCCTTTACAGTGAGTCTCCATATAAATCCACCTCCATACAGTGAGTCGACATATAAACAATCAACATTTAAAGTAAATAAATACAGTTGTTGCTGTAATAATGTAAATTATTCCTTTATACAATTATTTGTACAGTAATACATCACAGTTTGGAAGGCAATTCTACATTATAACAGTGTGTTATAATGATCCTGTAAGCTGAAACTCTCCCTCCAGGAACACATCCTAATTTTCAAGTCAAATTACAAATTTAAATAGCATTTTTTCTATTATTGAAGATATTATATTAATCATGATGAATCACACTGAGAGAGATTGATCATACAAGAATATAACATTGAAACAATAAATATACCTGTCAAATGAGGCAACACCCAGTCCTCCCACCTGGTAACATATGCAGTACTTGTACTTAGTAGCTCTTTTTAGGCCTACAGCAAAACTGAATACAGTAGGTCACTTTACAGTATTCATTGAGCAAAGTGTTGTACCTGTTTTTTTTCCCATTTCTTAAAATACATACAACTCTACATTATTTTGCCAATTTCTTAAAAGTCTCAATGTCCTCATTAAAGACAATACTTACTCTACATAAAAAGTTCAAATAAATGAGTGTTGGTAGTGAGGTGCGGCTCACTGACATAATACGTATGAAGACAGGACTCAGACTTGTGCCAACCACTTCATTACACATACATAATTTAAAAAAAGTGCAGGTTGGTTATTCTGAAAACTAATGCAAGAAAATTTTTTTGAATGTGGGGTGTTTACACTTGATTTTACATGTCGTGGATATATAAGAAACATGTGAGCTGTTCTAAATAAGTATATTACATTATTATATATATATTTTTTTTTTTTTTACAGATTTGGCCACCTGTTACTTGAAAAATTTGAAGAAGCATACTGTATACTGTAGTGGTTCTAGGACATTAGTCACTGGTTTAGTATATAAACCCAAACTAACCATGGCTTCATTGCTCAAAATAGAGACATTAGCATCTAAATTTAATGAATATACAGTTGCACGGTATCCCATAGGCCAGTGACGAAATTTCCACCTATTATAATGTATGAACAAGCAACTTCCTCTTTTCTGTCTCGCTCTATTTAAGTATCATACTGTATGTATTACTCAGTCTTTTATAATATATAAATTCATTGTTGAAGGAGTGCCAATGCTTGGAGTAAGTTCAATTTGTTTTACAATTATAATCTTAATTACAGTTTTCATTTTTTTAATGTTTTCTTTCCTGGTGTAACAATATGACTGTTATATGCATTACTCAGTCTTAGAATATACACCCTCGCCTCACAAATTCGTACTAATTGGTATCCCACCAAATTTACTAAATCTAAATCTTTATTGCTTCATAAGCATTAAAAAATCGGGAAAATAAACTAAAAAGCTAAATCTGTGCAGCATAAATCTTATGTTTCATAATTATAATTACCCCTCTATTTATGAACCCCTTATTTGCAAATTCACTAATTCACAAAAAATTTATTGAAGATTCGCTATAGAAATTCATCTACCTGCAGGGAAGGGAGGGTGCCGTAGTATCTTAATATTCTGGGTTTAAGGTGCTATACATTGCACCATAGAGTATCTAGTGCACCAAAATTAATATTCAGCACTCACTGGTAAAAAAATTTTCCTCCCATTTGTGTCAGGCCACTGTATGCAGAACATCTCTTTTATGGTAAATCCAATGATGTAGACTTTAATCTACAGTGCATTTCCTTTTATCCAAATTCCAACTTTCTGAATCTTCCAGGTATTTGAACTTTTGTCCCTGTTCAGTAAAAAATCAAATTTAATCAAACAATCCAAACATAACTGAATTAATTCATTTGCGTGTCTGCCACCAGTAGCACTATAACCGATTTGTTAAAAAAATGCGATGAAATTGGGTAACAAAGATGGAAATTCGGTAATGACCAGAAAAAGGGTGTCTGAAACACGAATTTATGGGGTCAGGTTGTATTAATGGGAACACCATTGCTTAGAGGAAAGTTCAATTTGTTTTGCAGTTTTCCATTTAGTTGTTAATGCTTCCTTCTTTGTTGTTGCATTCAGTATGTTAAACTACTGTAGTAAGTGGTAATGTAATATTAAGTTAATTCTTTGTATCTCTTCTGCAATGAATTTATATTATGATGAACTTGTCAATATCTATTGATAAGTAATGAGTTTAATTTAATTTTGTACTACATTCCTTGTGTCACATGCAAGTCATCAACTTTCATTAATTATCCATAATTTGTTGAGAATTGCTTGAATAATTTGAACATCTTAATTTAAAGCCAGTGTTAGTTTGAATATAGAAAATTTACTAAAAAAATAAAATGGTGGATGGCTTTGTGTGTCACACTTTTGAAAGACTACAGTTGGTCCTCACATTAAGCGGTCCCGCAATCCGCGTTTCACCGTTACCGCGGTGCCTTGCCAGAACCTAACATTTTCACATTTCGCGGTCAACGCCATTCCGCGGAGAGTGTCCGGCGCGACTATTTTTTAGATTTGCGCCACCGCCTGCCTGCCTCCTCCTCCTCCCTCGCTTGGGCAAGCGGCGGTAAGGTTCGCGTGTGTCTTTGTTGCGTTATCACTGACGTCATATGACGACAAGACCTTTGATTGGCCATGCATCCCTACCCTCCTCTGCTGCTAGCTGTAATTGGCTTAAAGTATTATGGCGTGTCCACCGGGGCGGGAGGGAGGGAGAGACGACGGCGACCTAGCTGCGACAGTCTCATCCTCAAGGCCCTCCGTATTAGCAGCGCATCCATTGTTCCGTAAAATGGCTTCGCTGGACCACCACCCCAGAGAAAAACCTTTCCTTACCTGGACCCAGCGGCACTAAGCCAAAAGGACACGACGTTCCTTAAGCTACGGTGAAGTACCAAATTATTCAAGATTTGGAGAAAGGAACACGGCAAGTTGATCTCAGCGCCAGCATGGCGTCAACGAATCTCGATCCGGACTATAAAGAAGGATTCAGCCAAGATAAAGGAGCACATGAAGATCACAAAGTCTACAGGTGCTTCTATGATCAAGTATTTTCACAACCGGTGCTTCTCAAGACAGAAAAATTACTTGTGAGGTGCCAGTGCGTCAAGTGACGCAACATGGCGATCGACACTCGCTCTGTGAAGGACTCCTACGTGAACTGTACATGGCAGTGCACAGGGGAACTTCAGAGCCCAAACCCTTTACTGCTTCCTCTGGGTGGTTACAGAGGTTTAAGATCGAACAAGATCACCAATATAAACATTGGTGTGGCGTTGCTGATCGTGCTGCGCAGACTGTTACAGTTCCAGGCTTCTCCGAGACTACCGACGACGACATCCTGGAGGTGATCAGAAATCCTGAAGTGACTGCCGACGAGATGTTGGAAGAAGAACACGCCAGTGAAGAGGAGGAAGAAGGTGCGGCAGTCTCCGAAGAACACAATTTAAGTCATAGTGATATTAAGGGTGCCATGGAGTGTGCAGAGAAGATGAAGTCCTTCCTTTCCCGCGATAATGACGATGACCGCTATGAAGTCTTCCAAAACCGGCTGGTGCAGGCTATGGAGCCGTACATCAAGGTGTATCACGACAACATCAACGCCAGCCATCAGCAAAGCATAACAGATTTCTTCACCCGCAACCCACCACAGCCAGCCCAAGCCAGTGATAGTGACAGTGAAGTTGACTTTGAGGGATTTGTCAGGGAAGCCCTGACAACTGTAAGTGACAGTGATGATGATTCACCTAGTAATGGTGATTCACCTGAGGGCCAGTAATCTGCCCTCTGCCTCGGAACCAGCCTCCATCCCCGTATGCCGACCCATCTCTTCTACTACCGTAAGTGTTCCACAAAATTTTTAGTTTTTTAACCTATTCTTTATTTTTCCTATGTTAACCTTTATCTTTCCTAACCTAACCTCTTCTATATTACTTGTTTTTTCATACCATCATAAAGTTAAGATAACATTTTTACTACAACATAGTTGTGTGTCGTCAAAAAGTGGAGTTTGGGGATCGGCCTGGACTCCATTTCAATTAATCCCATATGTTATGTTATTCACTTTCCGCGGGACCCTCTGGGTTACATTAACCGCGTAATGTGAGGACCAACTGTACAAGTCAAAGTCTGACCTTGTTAAAAGGAAGCAGTAGTTTTATAAGTAGCTAATATTTGTAGGATGAATGGAATACAGTACATTACAGTACTGTACTTGAAATACTGTATAGAACATTTTTGTCTATATTCTTATATTTGTGTTTTTGAAAGCATATTTACCTGTAGAAATAATAAAATAAAGGATAATTCATTCTGTGATGTTTATTTGGTACAGTACCAATTATTTGTGCATACGATGTAGATATATATACAGAAAATAAAGATACTGTTGCTAAATTGAAATTTAAACCTGTCATACTAGGATATCAACTGTCAATATTAGTTGACTAAAAACACTAATATCAGGTTCATATTTTACATAGACTATGATACACATGTAAGCTTCACTTCAAATTATAATTTCAGGTCCATTAAGTCATCCAAGACCCTCCAACAGGTGGTGACACCCCCAAAATAAAGGGATACTAAGACACTGTTATTTATTTTCCAAATTTCAGTGTCACTTTGAGGGACTGATATTGTTTCTTAATGATTATGCAGAAAAAGATAGGTTTCAGCCTGTAAGGTATATTGTGAATTAGCAATAAGAACCCTCGAAAATCCAGACTGAAAGGCAGGACTACCTGTCTGAAAAAGCCGATTGTCCGAATCTTCTGCCAAATAAATTATGACATAAGAAACGCCAAAAATACTGTAATGTTGTCACACTTAACCTATGCAGTGAATAGATGAATTTGTCTTGCCGTGATCATAAAATGGGGACTTGTTCTGAATCGGAGGAGCAGGGATGCCCCTCGATTTAGCTTGGCTGGGAGGCAGGAGAGGCGCGATTAACAGGTTTGAAGGAGGAGTCCAGCTTAAGTTGCTTCCATGCATTGTACTGCTCCCTAATAATAAGTTCTCTAAGAGTCCGAAGGTGTTCATAATAGTGGTGGATTTGAGGATTAGATGTACTGTCAATATAAGTCAAGACGTTGTCAAGTGACTCGTATAACAGACAACTAAACAGTAGGCATCTTCACACGCGACTCCTCTGCGTCACTGCTCTATGCATCATTGTCCTTTTTGTCAATAGTGCAGACAGCATCAGCAATCTCCTCAGCCGAAAGCATCTGGTAACCAGGATCACCCTCATTCTCCTCCAACCATGGTGCAACATAAGATGAAAATCCGTTACCTCAAATCGAGTTCAGGCTTAGTATCATGCAGAAGTTTCTTCCAGCTGTCAGCTAAGGTGGACATCTTGACGTCCTTCCACAAAGCAGCAAAGTTGAATATGGCTGAATTCAAATTGTATTTCTTGATGTTGGCTAATGTACATTGCCCTCTTGTGTCATTCACATTTTTGTCCTCCAGTACTACCAGCACTTCACCCAGGTACCTCCTCTCATCAGCCTCTTGCATGACACAATAACTCTGGTCCATAGGCTGAATAGTGGACGTAGTGTTGGGCGGCAGAAACAGGACGCCAATTTTACCATCACTGTGGACCAGTTTCTCAGCACTAGGGTGAGCTGGCGCATTATCAATCGGCAGAATTGCATTGATGTCTTCAGAATCCAGCTTTATAACCTTTTCTTGGTATTTGTGTGCATCAGGGATGCATAGACTTGCCAACAACAGCTAACTTTAAGTGGTGCATACCATTAGCATTAGCACAGCATAATGCAGAAATTTGCTCCTCATTCATATTGTGGTCTGGTGTGGATGCTTCATGATTAAAGGCTTAGGTGTCGTTGGAGAGTGACCGCCAAAATAACCCCGTCTCATCGGCATCATAAACTTGGGCCAAGTTCAACCCCTATTCCTTGGTTTAACTTCTGCTTAAACAGCTCGACTTCTTCAGTTTGAGCACTCCCAGCTTCACCGTGCAACTTCCTGTTACATATGCCATGGTGATTCCTGAACCGCCACAGCCAACCATCACTAGCTTTGAATGGAATACCCAAATGCTGAGCCTGCTTATTAGCTGCTTCAGCTGTCTCCACGCCACGAACCTTAACCTCACATGCACGCTGCTGAACAATCCACTTGTACACTGCTTCTTCCAACTCTTTATTCTTCAGCATTTTCACATGCTCCCTTGCACTAGCCGTACTGGCACCATCAACATCACTGCAAATGCAGTAAGTTTATCCTTGACCTTACATATGTCTGACACAGTTTGTTTCTTCACGCTATATTCATCAGATGCAAACCATGGACACACCAGACTCTAGCTTCTTTATTTAACTTAAGTTTCTGCAGAACAGATAAATGTACATGTTTTCTCTTCACACCACTTGCTTTAGATGCCATGATTAATCACTATTAAGCACTATGTACGTGTCGGTAAACGTAGTAACAGTAAATCCAGTGAAATATAGCAGGGACAAGCGACGTGTTACAACACCAGCCGACGCAGTAACTTACTACCCTCACACTCGGTCCCGTTACAAGGTGTACGATCAAAATATGCATGTAAGAAATACATACCTTTTAGTCTAATTTGAAAAAGGTTACAGGCACAGTGATAAATTATATAAACCATACATTTACCTACAATAACAATAAGAAACATTGTATCATTACTAGAGTGAATGAAATAATATTCCCAAACAACAATTGTCAACTCTGTTTATGTTTCCCACTTCCTCAAGGCACCTGTGTCCCCCACGACTGGTCATCCAGCACCCACGGGCCTAAAGTGTTCTTTGTTCTGTTTTGGGAATGTTCTTAGGGAGGTTTCTTAACCCAGAACCCCGGATTTTTTGTTAGAATCTTCCAAAATCCGGATTTACCGGATCTGGATCTTTGAGGGTTTACTGTACTTGGGAAGGTTAAAACTTCCGTGCTGGGAATGAGCAAGAAAAAGAATGATGATCTAGTATTTGAAAATCTTCATGAACCCGGGCAGAGGGAGAGTACTATGTCTCCTTGGGCCAGGGTACTGTACCGAGTCTCCTTGGCCCAACATATGTTATATATTGGGATTTCTAATATCATCCCTTAACTGATCAATGAAGACTTCAAAAGCTAGTTAGATACTGTATAGGCAATATAAATTTTAATCCTACTGAGCACCTACAATTCATAAGGGAAGGAGCAACTAAGGACTTACATGCTAACCTAAAACTCCCTCCAATGCTATACAATGGTTGTAACTGTACTGTCTTATCCAGGTGGTTGTCCTTCACTAAGGAGATCCACATAATTGTTATATGGCTAACACCAGATGATTTTATTTAGCACAAGAGGGGAATTCAGACACAAATGGTTAATTCAATATGTCAAACAGCTTAAAATTTTGTGTAAAGAAATTTCAATGATGTAAGGAGTCAAAGAGTAACGCTAAAAAATTACTCTAATTTTGCTGGTAAACACATAGTCCTTCAGTGGTAGATTAAAAAGGTAAATAGGTTGATGTCAAGTTCCTGATTGCAAAATGATGGGTAAATTCAACATTAAGGCTCTTAGCCAACCAACCATCGCCAATCTTAATTTATAACTTTCCTACTTAGTTAAATCATAGAAATTTTTTTTCACTAAGTTGCCCTTTTCAGTAATACAACTATGGTATTAAAGGGAGGCTCCCTGTAAATTGTGAATGAAAAAAGGTTTAAGAATGTTTACTTGCCTGAAATGTGACTCGGATCCTAAATTGTTGATCATCATGGGCAAGATACCAGATCACCTGCAGCCTCCCTCCACTCCTTGAAATTTTACCAAAAGGAAAGCAGTTATTGCTCTTGATTGTAGTCACCCTGTGAACAGCCTTAGAGTAAAGCTAACAATCATAATGAAGAATAAAGAAAACCATAACTAGTAAACATTCCAATATATTGTAATATATAAAAATTTATCACATTATGCTTTGCAACAATATGATTCCAGCACACAGGCATTTTTATTGCTGCCACTGCATATATAGTACTGTAATGGTAAAATATCCTTTAATACGAGGATATATATAAAGACAGCCAATCAAAGCCCTGTTTTGTGTAAATACAGCATATAAATTTTGGAAGTCAAAAGGAGTTTTACAAGAATTATTAACCCTCTTGAGTGCTATGTAAAGTTTAAAGGATTTTATTCTGGCTAATGCTGCCAGACAATTTTCTTCAGCTGAGAGCCCGAGGCAATCAGAGGATTGAGAATTTGCAAGATTTAACTATTTACATGTCTGCACATAATGCAAGCACAAACATTTAAATATACAGGAGTGCTCTGATATACAAAAAGTTTTTCATAAATTGAAGCCATTTTTCCCATTGACTATCGTTATGTAAAGGGAGAGACATTCCTATGAGGAGGAGGGGGGGGGGGGATCCAATGTAACTGCAGGGGTATACTCATTTATAAGGAATTTTTTTGTGGGAAGCCTTACTGTATCTGTAGTTTCTAAGCACATGTATTAATCAAAATAACATTCATAAAGTAAAGTATACTGTAGTACAGTACAGTTTATTTCATCCACATTAGAATATATTCTATTAAGGGGAACTGTAGGTGGTTGGTACATAGGGTGATCAGATATAAATTTCTACCTCTTATTAGGTGGTTGGTTAGCCATAATTTTAGATCAATATATTGTATCACCTTCATATGCATGTAGAGTTTTCCCTTTATGTTTTTTATCTTATGATAATTATTTTATATATATATATATAATTATATATATTTTTTTTTACACAATTGGTATGAAAGATTGTGAGTACCTGTACATGAAAACAAAAATGAAGAAAATTATGCCTACTCAAAATTACAAGTTGAAAATAACTATACCATAGCTAACTCACAGCTCAACCTAGTAAGGAGAGGATTGGGAAGATGTGGCTACAATGATAAGTCAAACTTAGTAACATGCCACCAGCAATGTAAACAGATGCAATTAAAACATAGTTTTTAATTTTCATTAAGCACAGAAACATTGCCACACACTAATCGACACTACAGTATACTGCTTACTGTACGCATTCAGCATGGAATGCTCTCAGATGCCTGTGTCAGCAACTCGGCATCTTCTGATGCTACTAAAAATTACCATTATTTTTCTTCGTATACCGAAGCGCAGGAACTAAATTTATTTTTCGTATTAGTGAATTTTCGAAAATCTATGTTACATAAATTGAAGCCTATCAAACATCATTCAAGTGATATTGCATGGTCATCCAAGCAGACAATGTAATATATTGAAATTAATAAAAATCTAGAAATGTAATCTTAAGTATTCTCTGCAGCATGGATAACCCACCGTCTGCCCAATCTGAATATCCTGTTGATGGACATGCGGTAAATCATCATTGAGATTTAATAAACGAACTAAAATTTTTATTTGAGGAATTGACCCTGAAGTTCCATCTTATAACTGAGTACAGTGATCCCTCGGTTAACGAATTACCTTCCATAAGATTCTTAACTTTGGTTAACGAGCATTCCCTCGATTTACGAATTACTTAGGAGCGCCCCACAACATGTTTTCGCTTGCACACTAGCGGTCGCATTAGTCCGCCAATACAGTAATCGGTTCTAGGGCTTAAATTCCTTACTATTTTAGTAAATATCAAGAAGTTTGTAGTGTACTATTAAATAATTTTAAAAGTCTTATATTAAATTGTTTAGTAATTTTAACAATTATTGAACATAATTTAAGTGCAGGGAAACTAGTTTTTAGTGCTAAACAGCCTGTCAACACACCAAGCAGGCATCAGTCTCTGTCTTTTCAGTGGAGGTAACATCTTGCTTCAGACTCTCTCCAACATAAATGCTTTTTTTCTGTTTCCAGTTAAATTATTGGTCATTTTGAAATTTATTTTACATATTGACAATGTATAATGCAGTGCAGTGTTGATTTAAAGAAAATAATCTTGAATTACATCAAGTGAACTAAAATTTTATGGGTGAAATGGCGCCATGGGGTGACTTCTCTTCCACCCCAATGCCTTCTCTTCTCCCTTCTCCTCCACCCCCATTCTAATTCCCATCATCATCATCATCATCCAGGAGCCTTCTACATACACACCTCAAAGTAAGTGTACTTTACTACCTTTTTTGTTGACTTTAGGCAATTTTCGCTGAGCTGGAAACAATTACTCAAAAACCCATTGAAACAATGGTTTCGGTTAACGGGCAACCTTCTGGAACAAATTGTGCTCGTTAACCGAGGGACCACTGTATAGATCAGACACCTCATGTTTAGTCCATAAGTAAAATGTGACATTGAGTTCATCGGTCCCTCACGTGTGGTTGAGACTATTTCAGAAAATAATTTCTCAACACAATCCTAAATAAATAGGAAAGCACAGGAAGTTGCCAATTTACACCATTTCTATCCGTATTGTTCCAATAAAACGACATTTACAAATTAGGGAATAAATTTCCATATAAGTTGTGACTATCATATGTAATGTCGTATTTGTCATAAATAGCAATTAAAAACTCATAAATTATTCATTATAATTCAACCCAATTGCCACTACTGAACAACCTAGTTTGTAGTTAATTACCTGTCAAGAGCTCTTTGAGGACTCCAATATTCTCTAAACTCAAAAGTAAAGGGACACATTAATCCCTTGTAATAGCAGTTTAGGGCAGGATATCCAGTTTGCACCTCCAAAGGGGGAATTTTCATTACAGTAATTCTATTTTAGTTATTAGTCCCTCCAAAGAAACCAGATGTCCTCTCAGTAACATAAGGCCAGACCCTGGTAAAACAATGTACTGAGTGACATTCTATGAAGTTTGGACATGATGCTGGGTACTGCTGATCCAGCATTCCTATTGGGTCACTAAGCAAAAATTTTCATTAGATCCTCTCAGTACACCCAAGTGACAAGAAGAGTAAAACTGGTCATGTTACTCACATATGACTTATGGGATGAAGACTCATAGCTTTACCATTCTGGTAAGTGACACCTACAAGTATTCCATTATATTAGAGACTATGATTTTGTTGGCAAATGTGACTATTTTTCTGAAATTTAAACCCAGTCGCATTTCAGGGGTCATAAGAACTCCGTTTTTCAAGCCAATGACATGTTGACTATAGAACAGGAGTGGCTCAATCCTTATTGCAGTATAAAAAAATATATACACATTAAAAATATTAAATGAAAGAAAAAAAAAGAAAAAAAAAACTCATGCAATAATGTGTTTACAGACCATATGAATCTTTCGATGACATACTGGACACCTTGATCCCCTGTCTAGGAGACGCTGGGCACACTGGTAACATGTCGCCTGGTGAGAAAGTCGTCCATGTATAATCGAGGCATTTTTTGGACGCAAATGGCATAGTGGGCATAAACGAGAGGCCCAATGATTTAAATGGGACAATTTTGAGAATTTACAGTTATTGCTTGAGCTTGCCTGTTCTGCATCTCTTAGTACTTCCTGAAGTGTATGGGAAGACTGGAACTCTTTTCCGTTTGCAGAACTGAGCCATTCCTTTCCAGCCTTGGTTGACAGAAATCTTGAAACATGTTTCACCTGTGCTTTTAATTCTTTCACATTCTTGGTTTTGCTCATATTAGATGGTTTGACAGACCCTATATGCATTCTTACCCTTTCAGATTTACCTTCCAAGGAATTTGATGTAGCTGTTACCTGACAATGGGGTGATTTTTCTATTTGTAATTTATTACTAAAATCTTGATATGATCCCAAACTTCTGATAAGGGATTTTCCTTTTGTATATGTTTGAAGGGTACTTGTTGACTGGATGCTGGGATACACATCTGGCAAATCATCATCATCTTCAACTTCCTGGCTCAAATCAGTTAAACTCCCCTGAGAGAGGAAAATACCTGAATCTTGCGAACCATAATGCTCAAAGGTAGAACTTGTTGATGGTTCACTACTCTCTGCTGATAAACTGGAGCAAACTGAGGGATCTGTACTCTCTGCTGATAAGCTGGAGCAAACTGAGGGAGCTGTACTCTCTGCTGATAAACTGGAGCAAACTGAGGGATCTGACGTGCTCTGCCTTTGCTCATTATCCTTGAATGGAGGATGTGAGTTGGAATTTTCAAGGTCTTTACTTAAGTTTCCTGACGCTCTGTTGGGTGTGGGAACCTGCTCATCTGGTACTTCAGCCTCTGTTTTATGCTTCTTATGTTTGTTCTTGAATCTTGGTTTTCTCCTCCTGCACTTCTTCGGTCGTTCAGGTAACCAGTTTTTTCTTAACTGCAAAGGAAGGAGAAGTCGTTAGGGAACGTAGCACAACAACACCCAACAAACAGTCATGAATAATTTGGAGGCAGTCAAGAGATAGGTAAATATTCAGGAAAAATAAACAGTATCAACTCCTAGAGACACATATAACATTGTTTTCAAGAGACATTCACCAACTATATTCTGGTCACTCGAAGCTTACAACTGAGGCCTAGGGTCAGTTTGTAGACAACCAATCAGCTGACTTGCTACAAACTTTACCTAGGCCTCAGTAGCAAGCTTTGAGTGAACATACTATTCTGTACATATGTGAAGATACTTATCATAAACTTTTTTATAAAATAAATTGTATGGACACCTTAAATAGAGTAAATTCTGATTTGATGGTAAGTTTGTCTCATTTCCAAGATAAAAGTTGTTTCCTGTGTACCAAAAAATTTCTCTAGTTTGCTAGATAGTACTTCACAAAAAAGGGAAATTCATGTCAAATTTCACTTGTGATCCAACCTGTGTTAAGCCAGCCCTGCCCTGCACTGTCCAAAATTGTGATACAGTAGTTTTGCACATCCACAAAATCTAATAATATACTAAAAATACTAAAAAATTGGGGTAAAAATTTGATCAAAAGAAAGGAGAAAGTGGCACTGATCACGTTGATGGAGTTATATATGATCTGCACATACAGTATAAGGGTACTAACAGTTTTTATAAAATTGTAAAGTACCCAGTACAGTATAGTTAACTCAATAAGTACCAGTATGTATTTCATCTATAATTTTATGTTACATGATGACCTGTGTTATCCAGTGTGACAGTGCCAAACATGGCAGTTTTCTCCAGGTACAGTGATATCTCCGTTAGCTGAAATAATTGGTGCAGAGCACTTCCGGGAATGAGAGATTTCAGGGTAATGAGACGACTCTCAAAGGCAGAAAACTATCCCTCATCCCCCAAATTTTCTGGGTAATGGAAAGTTTTTTTTCACAATTTCCAGAAAATGAGCCTGATTTTCATCTCTTAAACCCGGAAAAAACTCCCCTATCCATGAAATTTTCTGGGCATTGGGAAAATTTTCTCAAAATTTTCCGGAAAATGTGCCCCCTGGAAAATCGTTCCCAAAGATAGAATTTTCCGGAAAATTCCGCCTTTGGGAACGATTTTCCGAGAAAATTTCAATTCCGGCTATTGGAGAGTTCTGGGGTTGAGGGATTCCGGCTAATGGAGATATTAATGTACAAGTATTCTGATTTCCTCCTGTACTAACACTTGACAATAAGTTCATAACAATGTAACTGAGCTCAGGCCAACTGCCCGATGGGCATAAGCCAATCTGAAGTCTGTGGATAATTTCCTCTCCTGAAACATTGTCACTGACCAGCTGGTGTAATGGTGGATATCTGGCCACACAACTATACATTTATCTTGTTCTTCAAAAACTTTTATCAATTTATTTGTGTACACATGGCTCATGCTTTATGTGACTTCATGTAACCATTTGTGTATGGGGTCACCTCTCTGCTGAATTAAATCAGCTGGCATTGGCCAAATAAAATATTAAAAGTGGCATCCCATAGTGAAGGGGTTATTGCAATATGATACAGTATTAAGAGATGACCCTGTTCATAACACACTCCTACACCGTGCAAGAAAAGTACACAATTGGCCACTGTACGTTCAAGCCTTTTGTGACTAGTGTAGGCACAAGTGGACTCTACCATGCAGTTGGGGCATATGAGGCCTAGTGGGAGCAGTGAGTGAGTAGTCTTTCAAGGCAGCCTAAGTGCTACCTCACTTAGTGTTGCAGTGTCTATTGTTGTGTATGGATCTATGCTACTCAACTCTCGCCTCTCTCTTGTAGCGCATGGATTTGTCACTGCTGTTGACTAATGCAATGTTGTCTAAGTGATCTTCAAGTGCATCTCCTAATACATCTACTTATTAACCCCTTCACCGCAGAGGCACCACTTTTAATATTTCATTTGGCCATCACCAAATGATTTTTTTTCTCACTCAGAGGCTACCCCGATCACAAGGGGTTAGGTGATGAAGAGAAAGACAACTATTTAACCATTAGAAATAAAGATATATATTAAGGAGAGCTGAAGCAGGTGACAGTGTGCTGCAACTAACTGTGCATTTGACCATGGAGAGAGAACAATACATACCACTAAGAAAAATGCTGACAAAATAAGGAGTTCAGCGATGCACTCAACATCTCTTCTCAGTAAACATAATGAACAAGTACAAGAAATCCTCAGCAAGGAAAAATATGATGGAGAAGATACTCAGAATATATACTGTACTGACGACCAGACCCAAAAACGAAAATGGATGATCTCAAGTGGTTAAGTGTCCCTGTTGATGTTAAGTATTCAGATAAATACCCTGTTTTATTTCTTTTCCCATACTCTCAGCTGATTATTTTATGTTATTGGGGGTTGGGGGGGTGTTCACTGGATTTGTTATGAAATACTGTTATAAATAATTTTTTCTTGGGGTCAGCAAATTTCCTGGAACACATCCCTATTAAATAAGTATTCGTGTAATTGTCAAACAGTCGGTCCCAAAGGTTTAGATCTAGAAAGATTCTACTGTACATCTTCGTGCTTCTACTTTGTGCAAAATCTCCCAATAGTCTGATATAACAACAGCAAGGGTAGAAAATGGCCATAAAATGTTGATGGTGATGAATGTGTTACATCATGCCAGCTAACACTTGATCTACCATTCACATGAACGTCCACATTACTTTGAGAAAATACTGTGTTCTCATTCATGTACCTAAGACATGTCACAACTCTATACAGGTTCATCACTGGTCAGACTAAAAGATGACAACTCACATGCCAACATTTGCTGCAGTATCGTACAAATGGCTTGTTTTTCTGGCCACAGCTAAGGCAGGGCCAACGCTCCCCCACTAACTCTGGGTCATCAGTCGACTCATCTTCTGTATCACTGTCTGGCCAAAAGTCTCTCTCTGACTCATAGAGGGCGTGGAAAGCCAACACTGCTACCCCAACATCCTGAAAGTGATTTTTTATATAGAATACAGTCCAATAAATATTTACAACAAAACACCATTTTTTCCTTACCTATAATAAATGGGGGTTGACAAAATATAAATCTATCATTTAATAATGTTTCTCAACAAAAAGTGAGATTCTGCAGGGTAGAAAAATACTAATGAGATCCAGGTATGCAGCACCTTTGCCCACATAAGAAGGCATCTGATTTATATTTAGTTGATGCACATAAGATCTTTCAAAACTGTAACTCATTTGTACATTGATTAAGGACTTACTATACCTAGGAGTACAGTACAATATAAGACTTGTGCAAGTCAATTCCTGCGGTGATGCAAAGAGGAGTATCACATAACCAATTTGGGTCATATTATCAACAGCCCTTGTTGACCTACCACATATTAAAAAAGAAAAAAAAAAGTTGATTTGAGTCAATTTCCTTGAGACCTTTATTTTGGATGTGAAGTTGAGGGTGACACCTGGTCTGGTGGAATCTATGACAAGGGCGGTGCTCAACATTAACCGACTGGTTGAACATCTACTAGTATTTTGTACTGTATATCACTTTTCCATATACTTATAGTGTTCCTTACTTTCCAAATTGTAGATTATACTTACTTTAAGTCCAAGGTTCTTCCACTTGGGCTAAAAATAACTCCTCCAAAGAGTGGTTCAATGAGTCTTAATCATGGAATTCCTTAAATATCAGAGAACTTCTTGTATAGTTTCCCTGGACTAGTGTTTGCTTGTGGTCTCTCTCAGATATAACAAACATGGACACACAAGAGATCTGTAAACTATCTCATGCAGATTTCCTAGTAAACCACAAGTAGGCCATAATAATGGACGAGTTGATGGTCGGATTTTTTTCGTAAGATGGCAGGTCAATGAGTAAAGAAAATGCTTAAATTCACTATGGTAATGATATTTTAAAATAAATTGGACCAAAACGTGTCAAAAATAAGGGTTAGAGTTGCTAAAAAGTCACGTGACTGCGAAAAGCTCTGTGACTGGTTGTGACATTACTGGCTGGGGCGAGCCGCAGAGCGGGAGGCAGCCAGCTGTAGCTGTAGCTGTCCAACCTTCTCGGCTGATCGGCTCTGTAAATAAATATTATTAGATAATCAATTGTGCTTTACTGTGCAACACAGTAATACTATTTTGGAAGGTAGTGACGTCATTGCAAATGGCTGCCCTGTTTCTAGAGAAACAAACTTATTTCATCTATTATAGCAGGACTTTAAACTTTTATTACAAATTATATATACCATATCACTCTATGAACGTGGTAGAGTGTATTTCTTATGTTTATCCAGAACCATCAACTTGTCCATTTCCAGCTTTGTTTAATTATCTACAGTTTAAGCATCACAAACCTCAATAATGGAGTCGTCATCGCCATCCTCTGAGTGTTCCTGGTCTTCCTCTTCCTCGTTGTTGGTGACGTCAGTCTCCTCGTACTCGGTGTTGTGGCACAGTGCTGTAAATAAATGGGCAATACTGTACTGTATGTACTGTATTGCATTTCACATAAGATAAAAGACACTGAAATAAGCTCTAGGACAATAAATGAAATACTGTATTTCTGTAGTTATATAAAAAAAAACAAGATAAAAGATAGTACAGTCGGCCCTTAACATACGCGGGGGTTACATAACAGAGATAGCCGTGGATGTTAAAAATCCGCGTATATGTGCTGCCCGCCCCCCCCCCATGTCCTTATTTACCGTATATACCTGTGTGTAGTTCGAGTTTTTAAGACCAAATTATTTTGCAAAAAATTGGGGGTCGACCTCTAAAAGGGTAATAGTTTCATTAGGTTGAAATATATTTACCAGTAACTACTAGTAAACAATGGAAACGACGCACCAACGCACCACCAGCTGTGAGTGTCGGTACAGTCGCCAGGGAAGATCTCTTGTGTCATCATAGCTAGCCCAAAGTAGCCAAATGCATGGTATGGTATACACAGGACGATGTAAAACAAAGTATTCAGTTGTTAAAGTTTATTTATAGATACTGTACATAAATTTTTTTTCATTACATTTGAAACATCAATCTTTGTAATTAAATTTGATACAAAAGAAAACTATGATACAGTACCATATTTTCATTAAAATATTACATCACAAGTATATTTTACCTTAACTGTGACTGAATTAATATATTCTCAGAAATAAATATGGAAATGTAATATTTTGGCTGAAATGACGTACATATTACTGTACAGTGGAAAGTGGGATAAAATTATAAAACGATGACTTTCGCTTTCTTTCGTTGTTCAAAAGATTTTACCATAATCGCTTTTCGAATGGTTTCAGTTAAAAAAACTGTTGTACTGTACTCGTACTGTATTACAATAATATTCTATCCTATCATTAGCCTTATAATCCCACAACTGAAAACCATTCGAAAAGCGATTACGGCAACATCTTTTGAACGAAAGAAAGAGAGTCATTGCTTGCGTCACAATTTTATCCCACTTTCCACTGTAATACGTACATCATTTCAGCAAAAATATTACATTTCTATGTTCTCAGAAATAAATGGTAGTTTTGTTGAAACGTAATGTACAGTATTTAATATTAAAATGCAAAAATAGCTATAAAAACAATTAATACACCCGAAATATACTGGCTGGCATCTCCACTCATCCCTGCTCCTGCGTCCAAGGTCACCTCACCACTCCTCCCAACTCGCTCCCTCCGCACCGTCACTACTGCCGACAACAAACACAAATGTTTTGTGAATAACTGCACCTCCACTTCCTATGTACAGTACTTGTACTGAACTGTACTGTGCTGAGCATTTTTACAAACAATAAACATGGCAAGAAAAGCTATTAAGAAAAAGAGATAAGAATTTCACTTTACTGTACCGTACCTCTCCTCGGCGACAGGGCGGGGGTCATCGGGCTCATCGTCACTCAATTCCATAACAGGTGGTGAAGTGGATATAGCTGCTTCCTCACTGCCGCCAGTGATTGATGGTGTTAAATCTCTCCTTCGGTGATCAAAGAACATGGTGATGGGGAGTTGTCGTCTCTTTCTTTCATTTCTTCCATGATGTTTTTGTATGGAGCGAAAACGTCATCCATCCCTCGCATGAATTTCAGGGCACGCACCATGGAGGGGTCCATACTATAGGCCAGGTTTTTCAGTGCCTCAATATTCCTGGTCACCTCCCCCAACTTCTCCAACGTTATTTCTTGGTGCTCTTCCTCATCCTCTTTCCCTTTCGCTTCCTCTTCCTTGCCTGAGTCTACTAACTCCAGTAGATCCTCCTCGGTCAGCTCAGTGTCGTGCTCTTCAATTAGCTCCCTAATCTCGTCCTCTGCCATGTCCCGGAAGCCTTCAGCAGCCACTTTCCTTGACAGTGCCAGGGTCTTTCTGAATATTTTCATTAAAATCCATCAAAATCATTTTCCTTGTCATCGTCTGCAGCACCAAACAGCTCCTCCCAGTCTTCTCCTTGAACAGGGCTAGAGGGTAAGTGTTTTTCGAATCGTTTTCAATTAAAAAAATGTTATAGCACATGTATATTTTACCTGAACTGCGCCTGAATGAATATATTCTCAGAAATAAATAGTAGTTTTGCTGAAACGTGATGTATTTCAATGTAAAATAGGATAAAATACATGACGAAAACAAAAGACTTTACCTAACCTTCCAATGTTCAGGAGATGTTACTCATTTTTTTAATAGTTTTCGGTTAAAATACTGTTATATTACAATGATGTTATATTCATACTGTGCTTGATATACTACATTCACAGAAATGTAATATTTTTGCTGAAATGACGTACGTATTACAGTGGAAAGTGACGAAAACAATGACTTTTGCTTTCTTTCGTTCAAAAGATGTTACCGTAATAGCTTTTCGAATGGTTTTCAGTTAAAAAACTGTTGCATCACAAGTGAATTAGGATAGAATATTATTGTAATACAACAGTTTTTTCACTGAAAACCATTCGAAAAGCGATTACGGTAACATCTTTTGAACGAAAGAAAGTGAGTCATTGCTTTCGTCACTTTCCACTGTAATACGTACGTCATTTCAGCAAAATATTACATTTCCATATTCTCAGAAATAAATAGTAGCTTTGCTGAAACGTAATGCTCAATGTAAATTAGGATAAACTACATGAAAACAAAAGACTTTACCTAGCCTTCCGATGTTCAAGATATGTTACTCGTTTTTTTAGTAGTTTTCGGTTAAAATACTCTTATATTAGTGATATTCTATTCATACTGTGCTTGATATAATACATTCACGGAAATGTAATATTTTTGCAACTACAATGCTGATGTCAACACAAGTGTGGTTACAGCGAGACTGACTGAGTGAGGGAGAGTTATGCGTGTGTGTGTGAGGTTGCGGGAGCGGGCGGTGTCCCGTGTTCGGTGCCGCGCGCGATTTGAATGTACAGTGAGTTCTGCTATAACGCGTGTTTTGATAATGCAAATTTGCTCTAACGAGATTTATGAATTAGGAACGGTATTTGTATAACGCGAACGCTTGTTTGCTATAACACGATTTTTGCTTACTATTTCTCCAATTTTGTGGTACAGTGGGGTATGCTATAACTAATCTAATTGGTTCTAGAACCTTGTTCGTTATAGCATTCATTCGTTATAGGATTAATCCGTTCCAGGCCCCCAAATACAACCACTTAACACTGAAAAATATAATATAAAATTGTAAAAAAGTGCATAAATATGCATCTAAACCCCTGAAATAAAGAATATCATTAATATTTGTAATAAAAAAACAATAAATTAGAAAAAAAAAAATTTAAATAATGTTCATTGTAGGAGTTTCGTTCGTTATAGCATTCTCAATTTTATAGGTAAAACCGTTCGTTATAGGAATATTCGTAGTAGGATCCGTTCGTTATAGCATACCCCACTGTATTAACTGTGAATACAGTAAAGAAGAATATCAACAAGAAGCGTTCTGGTGATAGAATTCCCGGTGATGATCGTAAAAGAAAGGATATAACACTTGAAGAAAAGCTCGATTTTATCAACCTCAAAATCACCCTTCTCCCCCATCAAGTAAAGTGTTTCATTTACTGTATGATTTCATTATTAGATATGAATGTAACATTTATTTAGACTGTGCTATCCTTTGTGTTAGGCTAACTACTAAATTTTTTCGATTTCGAGTAATCTGCACCTAACCCTATTTTCTCCATAAGCCCTGTTATTTCTATTACGTGATTTTCTACAACACGATATTTTACAAGAACACAATTATTGCGTTATAGCAGAACTACCTGTACTTCAATTACTTCAATGTACAGAATATTCCTCCGGCGGGGCAATCCGCGTATTTGCAAATCCGTGCATTATAAACCCGCGTATGTTAAGGTCCGACTGTAGTACTGTACTGTAATAATAATAAAAATAAACTAAATAATAATAATAAAACTAAGAACACATAAAATACATAAATAAATAATTAAAATATAATTACTGTATTGTAGAACCAATAAAACAAATATATACTGAACCCAGGTAAGGTCAGTCATGGTTTACAATGTATTTCTAAACAGTGAGTGTGTTACTGTGCTTGCTGGAACTGTTACTGTACTGTATATACCCGAAGTCTATTGGATTTACAGCCTTGTGAACCAGAAGCAACAACAGCTGGAGGAGTACACTAGTCTCTCGCCAACACGGGGGTTAAGTTCTATAGCCGCTGATAACATTCATCAAAGCCAAACAAAGATTAACTCTCTCATAGCATGTCCCACCGATGCCATACTCTCCCCACATGCTAGTCTATCAAGCACTTCAACTTTCTTTTCTAATGTCACTGCATTCCTTGCCTTTTTTAACTTCTCACCTTTATCACGAACACTTATTGAATGTTTAGGGGCCATAATTAAAGGTAAAATCAATATCAAAACAGTACAAACTACCTGACAGAATACAGAGCAGTAAGGTACTACAGTACACTTCAAGGTCACAACACTGAAGAGAGTGGAGAGCAGTGGCGGGAGATAAGACGCTGCGCGGAGGACTAAAGACGCCGTACTAAACCTTGGGTACATAAAACTCAATGTCGAGGTTGATAAAATGGTATACAATGTGAAAACCCTGGATAGGTGGAATCCGTGGTTCACAAAGGTCTACTGTATAAGGGATTTCTAGTCATCAGAGTCATCAATACCCGTGGTTTCGAATTTAGAAGGCCATATTATGACTGAACTATGATATGAGTCAAGAGGACCCACACTTACATGGATTATGAGGAATAATATCCATGGAGTGGGGAAGTCTCACCAGAGAATGATCCAAATATCCCGCTACACCACCTTGCATCTCCCAACCCCCACCACATTCATCACCCAGACAGCAAAATTCTACTTATCCAAACTCCTCGAGACCAATGATGGTTAGGATACTTGGAAGTGCCTACAAGAACATGTATTAACCCTTTAGAGAGCAGTGTAGTCCTTAAGTGCGTATTTTATTCTGGTTAACGTCACACGATTTTATGCAGCTGAGAGAAACTTCTGCACCCTAAAGAGTTAATTAATGTTGGGTAAAAATTCGGTTTAGTGGTAGCTTAGTAACTCACTGGGAATGCGGTAGCCTTTTGCCACTGTTACAAGAAATGTAACTATAAATGTTGTGGAATAATCAGAACAAAACTCTAATGTTGCTTAGAAATATAGAAAATATAATATAAAACTATAAAATAAGAAAATGAACATGGGTGTGTATGTGTGTTGGGGTGACCATAAGTGTGTAGGGAGGCAGTGGGCTGTAACTGCATTGCCGACTCATCCCCCCCCCCCATGAGATGTCACGGTGTACACAGATATTTTGGATTGTCAGCTTGGTGACTGCCCACCTTAAATTGTTTAATCTCCTGCGGTTATTTATTGTGTTTTGTGTTTCATGTGCATTCTTGAGACATCATTGCTATTGTTTTAGCCATGAGTTCAAAGCATTGTGCTTGCACTAAATTAAGTGCTGCCCCTAAAAGGAAGTGTATACTTGTACTGTATTACAATTCCACCAATAATTGGCCATATAATCTTACCACCTGCATAGTATAGTAATCCCATACATCAAAGCCTTTATTAGAAATCCTACCTGTTTCATATCCTTGGCAGCTGTAGGCAGACTCTGAATCAGTCCCACTCTCAGGAACAGAAGGAATGACAAGCCTAGAGGGAAAACCAGATGTTGGGCATCCTTTACTGTAAGAGGCTGTCTCTTCAGCTGTAAGTCTAGATGGTCCAGCAACAGGAGAAGTGCTTAAACTTGCCTGCATATCTTGAGATATCTTTAAATCCAAACAAGTTCCCGCACTACTTCCTAATTCTGAAGTTTTACTAGTTGTAGGTAAGCAGTTATCAGATGAGGGAACTGCCGTTTTGTCATTGGCATTATCTAACTCTAACCTGGTGTCAATCCTAGCAGTAGGAACATGACTATATTTGACGTCATTTCTTGAATCACAGTCTATTAACCTCTCTTGTGTACTTGATCCACTTGCAGGAACAGGCAAAGGTTTTACCCAAGTTGGTCCACATGTTGAAATATGTTTTTGAGGATTTGACTGCACCGGCAAAATGTTTCTTGCTACCAATAATCTGAAAATATTACAAAATAATGAAGGTATTATAATCACTTTGATGTTAAACAATGGTGCAGAATCTATTAATTCTCCTGTTATTCACCAAAGTCAAACATTTACCAGAAGTCACCCAAACACTAGTAATGAGGGCATTCTGGCTATAAACAGGCTAGGGCTGATTAGGTGTTGCTGCATTCGTCAGGTTTATTTATCTATTGATTTAATATGATAATCTCATATGATTGGCCTCTTAATATAACATCTTCATTAATAGAGAAAAAATACAATACATACTGTACTTGAAAATAAAAGGATAAGCTGTATCAGAAGGTTATTTACTCATGATGTGTTCGTGTGAGAGCGTTCTGCAGACCAGCTTACAACAGAGGTGACTATAACACACTGAATAGTATTTGATATGAAGATACCTTCTTAAAAATGTTATTTACTACCTTTGAGTGTTATATGATAACTCAGTTTGGCTACTTGTACAATTAGACAAATGATGTAATGAATAAACCAGGGTATACAGATGCATAATACCTTACACTACAATATTACTTATTAAGTGATGATAAATACACTACAAAAGTATTTATTAAGCGATGATAAATAACACTGCAATAGCATTAAGTGATGATAAATACACAACTGTATTGTACTAATTTACTAAGCATTGAAGAGACTGGGGTCTGCCCCAATTAGTCCGATTAATCGAGGTTCTATTGTATTGCTTTTCTAGTAACAGCCCTGTTTGGTCACTCAAACTTAACCTAAGACCAGACACTGTCACCAGGTAGGAAAACACTATACAGGGCCTGAGTTGTCTGGGTTTACGATTACAGAGACTTTTGAGGTGTTTTGGACACATACAGTAGTGGTGAGAAACTTGTATACTTTTCAAAATTGTTCCACAATAGGTTCCACTGGAGCACTTCTGACACCATGGTAATAAAGTGGAGTCCCGATAATTAACAAAATACAAATTCACGTTCTTAAATTCACAGGTACCTCTATTGCTACCTCTTTTTTTTGTGGTCAAATATTGTATTATGTGGCCGAGCGCTGGCTGCTGCCATGTTTATTTACATAAGAAACCATAATAGTTGTGGAAATATCATTTCAATGCTCTAATTTGACTTGGAAATAAAGAAAATATGAAATAAATCTCACTTCAATGCTCTAATGTGACTCACTCATACAGAAAATACAATATAAAACTGTAAAAAAGACAAATGAAAAGTGGGAAGTAAATTGTGTGTGGGAGGTAAGATTTTGGCTGGTAGAGTGAGCTTCTCCTCCAACTCCATTCAGGAGTGCTCCTGCAACCTCTTTAACATACAACATTATGCAAGCTCACCTAAATTCCAATGTCATTTAGGTTTATTTGGTAACGGGTCAATAAAAAACATTGTAAGGTATCAAATAAAAAAAATAAAAAAATCCCACACTCAAACCCAGGGTGTGCGTTCTAGGGTTAAGTGGTATTAAATTCCCGATGTTTTGTTTACATAGTTCAGTCACAGCCAGCTCAGCATAACTCGCAGGATTATTATAAGAAAGGAAGGAGCTGTTTATGTAATATAAAGCTACTTTTTGTACAACATTTATTTGTTATTGTATTTTTTATGTATTATGTACAAGGTTTAGTGCTTATTAAAGCAGTTATGTAACAGTTTATGGGTATTTTTTGGGCCTCTGGAACCAAACTAATTATTTCCATTAAATCAATTAAATGATAATTTGCAACATGATAATTTATGTCTTCTGGTACCTAACCAGTGAATTATCGCGACACCATTATTGCATGTATAGTACAAACTGCATGAGTTCACGAATGGCACAAAGGATCGCGTCTCCCAGGGACTGCACCAAGTGAATCAAAATGTGTTTAAACAGCTAAATTTATTAAACTGTCTTACCAACTACAGTGGTATATGGAGAATTGCTAACACCAACTTGTATTATTATTCTATCAAGAGTAATTAATCATGAACCAAAACAACAATTCATGTACAGTATTAAAAATTTTTATTATATAGCACAGTACAATACTTACTTAGCCTCATTGAAGTGGAAACGCTCGACTCCCAAGGCTCCTCCAAGAGGATCATTCCCACAGTTCACATAAAGGATGTCATTGGGGTCAAATAGATGACGCTTACTATACAGGTAAGTTTTTAGTAGAGTCAGTATCTGAAATGTCATTGCAAGTAAAAATACAGTACAGTATGACTCCTGGAGAGTCACCATAACATGACCAAAAATGTAACAGAAAAAACCCATAATGACTGATCAAATATTTATTCCAAATAGTTTTGGCAACAATTGGTGACCTCCTCAGTGGAGTTACAGATAATAACCATTACAGTCATCACTACTAAAGATCCTGACCACCAAGGCTATTACTACAGGATCCAGTTTGAACACACCCTTGTTCAACTTAAAATTGTAAAAAAATTTTTTACAAACTGATTCACTATACACTGTACTATGTTTCCTAAAACCATTGCAATTGTAAAATAGTTGGTTTACATTCAATTATTATTTTTTGAGGCATGTAACAGCCGTTTATTACTGCTGTTGCCTTTGTAACAATGGAAATTGTACATGAATCTCCTAGCTGTTACATTTTGTAACTGATGTAGATTGTGAGTAATCTAACCTGCTAACACTTGTAACTGTCCTTGTTAGTTCCAGCTGGAATTACTTGAAAATACTGTATTATATTTGTATATGTTTGTTAATAGTTGATGTTCACCCAAACATTATATGGCTTTCTTAGTTTATTATCCAAAAAATAGATGCACACTATGTTGGTGTAATAATGAATTACCCGATGATGGCCAACTGACCATTAGGAGATTATTACAGAGCTTCTTCAACACGTCTGTGGTAACTGGGATACAAGGATCATGTCAGCAGAGGGCCAGGCACTTTGTGATGAGCCGTTCTAAATTACAGGTGCGTAGATAACATGAAAGTCATCTAACACAAAAGGAAGTGATACGCTGTGCTTAGTTGCTCTTATCTAGTTAATTTGGGTAATGCTAGTTATATAATTAATACTTGTAACTAGCCTACATTTATATGTTGACAGCTCTGGACTATTACTGGCATAAACACAGAACTGTACCACATTGTTAGTATTATGTCTTAATGGCATATTTATGTTCTTTAATGCAAGTTTCTAAATTCCTGCCTGTGTCATCAACACAAATTAAGTCACAAGCCTTATATGGAATTCTGTAAATAAAGATCATAAGTAGTGACGAATGTGCCAGTTTTTATCTGTAACTCCACTGAAGGGGGTGACAGTTATCACTAGGGCCCGGATAGTTATGCATTTGCATATTTCATATGCAAATGCATATTTTGCGTGATTTCTATGATAAGTGCATATTACCTAGATAACTGCATATAAATGCATATTTTGGTAAAATATTCATCTGGCAGTATCTCTTTGTTGCCACTGAATGAGCACACGTGGTACTGGGAGGTGAGGTGAGGTGTGGTTAGGTGAAGTGAGGTGAGGTCACGTCGCTTTAATCTGTCGTTTCCACACCTGGTCATGACTCATTGGACTAGTGAGTTAGTCAGTCAGGAACAGTATACTGGAAAAAAGGTCCTCGGCAATTTCGTTGGTTAATGGTGTTCTTGATGAACTGAAAAGTTTGCAGTCTGATGCTTACTATGGTAAACTGAGTAACGTGTTGTACAAAAACAAGGGATTTGAAAAGCTGAAAAAAGTCAGTCAGATAATGTCTGGTGATGCTATTATTGACGAGACGGTACAGCCACTCACTATGTCAGACCTCCTATGTATGAAACATGCACCAATCGTCTCGTGTGATGTAGAAAGGGTGTTCTCAGAATATAAAGCTATGCTGACAGACAACAGGCGGGGTTTTAACTTTGAGAACTTACGCCACCATGTCATCATCAAATGCAACCACAATCTGTAATGTCTGAAAATATGTCAGTCTATAATGTAAATACATGTTCATATATATTTTTTGAAACACTTTCACATATATATGTTAAATACATTACGTATATTGCTTAATAAACATTAACATTAGTTTATATTAACTATTTTGTTTCCGTATAACCTGCATGCTTGGCTTTATAAGTGAAATTTTTTAGTGAATATAAATGCATATTTCCCCCGTTTTTAGTGCATATTTGCATGCATATTTCATGGTTTTTTAGTGCATAACTATCCGGGCCCTGGTTATCACCAAAACTGTTTGAAATAATTATTTCATCTGCCATTGTGGGTTTTTTTCTTTTACAGTAAGTAATTCTTCAAAACATACATAATAATTATTTTCTAGAACTATCACTTGTGTATTGTATTTATTAGTATTGTACAGTCACAATCAAAAGGCCTGTCACTTCTGCTGCTCCATGAACCCCGAGATTGAGACTCGTTAGCCTGAAGCCGTAGACACTGATGTATTACAGTACAGGGTATATTCTATTCACGGATACTTTGGAATTATGAGTCTGAATTTTGGAGTTCGTGGAGCAGAAGTGACAGGACTTATGACCGTGGTTGTACAGTACAAGCTTCCCTCAATTTCTGTAAGGGTTCTGTCCCATAAAACTATTTGTAAATCAAGCCTCCATTAATTGAAAGATGCCTGTAAGGTGAGGTAAGGTTCATACTGTCTATTCAAGACATAACTTAACACAGCTTGTTCATGATTCTTGATGATCTTTCATCATTGGTAGTCAAGCCTCTGCTGCTGATTCTAAGGCATGGCATGAAAGTGGTCAGTTGGCAAGTACTGTACAGCTTAATATATCTTACAAATATACAGTGACATGAAATCTTTCGGAAGTTATTTTATGGTAATGTTTATTTTTGAGAAAATTATGGAGCCTTACAAGAGAAGGCTATGCTAATATTCTTCAACAATATTAAACAAGAACCTTTTGGGCTATATTTTGTCTTTGAAATTATTCGTATTTTTAAAGTACAGGGGGTCCCCGACTTACGAACGTCCGCCAATAAGAACGGGGTACTTTAAACTCCAGTATTTTATTTACCTGACGACTTATTTTTTACTTTCAGTTCCTGTATTTTGTCATTCCATTTCTTCTTTTCTCATAAATTAAGTGATTTTAGATGTATATAAGGACTTAGGATATGAAATAGTGAGATTTTAAACATTGTTCTGCAAGTACGGTATACACATAGCATGTGTTCCGACTTACATACATTTCCGACAAAAGAACGTCCTCAGGAACGAAATCCGTTCGTAACCCAGGGACCCCCTGTACTGTAGTTTAAGTCCCCACAGTGTCAATAAGAATATTTTTGTCATTCAATTAAAGATTACTTTCTTTCCAAGCTTTTAAAATGTACAGACAGACATTATTGCCCCACAGGCTACCTTACCAGGTGCTGTGTAAATATAATAAGAATCAATGTTCACATATTGGAACTATGGTCATCATATAAAAGGCCATACAGTATATAGCAACTCTTCTAACCTCAAAATATTTCTTATGAAGCAAAGGTTGAATTAGTCACTAGCGTACATAACAGCAGTAGGTATCACATGGGCAAAAACCGAACCACAAAAATGTAAGAGGAAATAACAATCAGTACCGTCTTACTTCTCTGAAGGGATATGGCTTGTGTGTAGCTCCAACAGCAGCAAAAGTCTCCCTCAAACATGAGCTAAGGTGAAACAATGGTATGGGGGCAGGTGCCACAAGGGTATCACATTTTTGGATGTCTCCAGTGTTTGGATTCCCTTGTAAATGACTGTGTGTCTCTCCAGGTTGTTTCACATTACTGGTGTTGTCTTTTTCTTCAACTGACAACTTCTCCACATTCCTACAACTGGTTCCAGAAGGTTGAGATGAAGGATCGATGGTAGAATTTTCTTTACATTCCTCTTGTTTGGCAGGAGAGGGTAATTGCTTTCCCTTTGAGAGGATGGTGTCCTTTTTATATTCTTTCATTCTCAACTGTCATAAGAAGAAATACGTTAATAAACCACCATCAGCATCAGGGTGAGAAAAACCATGGTTATTGCATAAAATAGTTTGTTTTGACCCTATAAACCAGTTCTTAAAAATATTTTCCAGAGGTTTGACACAATCAATTGCATTTATCTTTCATATGGTATGTCAATCAATAACTGTACAGTACAGTATATTTTCATTATAAACTAGCAGGTATCAAAGGAAGTACATTCTGTTTAAAATGGTGGGATGTCCGTCCCCCGGCTAAGAGGTTAGGTAGGTTTCTTTGGTTGGTAATGTCAGGCTCTAATAGGTTCTGTGCATTGTCTTATAATTTTTTTTCTTACTTTCATCAAAAGAACATCTGTGGAAAAAATTAATGAAATTGAACAGTGCATTCTGGTGTTAGCCATCTGCACCAGGATTATGCTCAGCTTTTCAAAAAAGCACATTCCTCACATGGTAACTGGTTCATTGACATAATTCCAGGTCCTCATGACTCAGGACACACTTCTCTGCTCATCTTTGTTAGGAAAAATAAATCACCCAACTCATGACAAGATATGTGTCTAATTGGGCGTATACATCAGTGTTAATCAGTCCACAGTTATCCTTAGTTTTGGTACCTTTGTTTGTCCCCAATTTAGCTACAAAAGGTTCCTGTCCCAAAAAACCCTCTGGAAATAAATCATTTTGTTCATCAAAGCACATTTTCCCATAAGTTCCTAAAAGTTGCAAAACATTCTTACATTGTTTTCTCCCCAAAGTCTTAAAATGCCACATGGTACAAAACATAATTTCAATGAAAAAGTCAATAATAAACAAAATAGCTGAAATACATGCAGTACAGTTATTTTAACGTGCCTCAAAACATATTCCTCATGCATTTTTTCAGCTACGTTTTACAAGGTAAGAAAGATTTTAACTTCTGCCGTTATCTGCACGTATTGTCGTCCACTCTGTCTACAACCGACCCACTCAGTCCGAACAAACTCTCACGTCCACAAAAACCGCAAAATTACATGTACAATACAGTACAATGCAGCTTAAAAAAAAAAAGTTGCTTTCATTGGTACCAGATATCAAAGTAAGTACAGGTACATTCTGTTTAATATTGTGAGGGGTCCACCCCCAGCTAGGAGGTTAGGTAGGTTTCTTTGGTTGGTTACTTTTACTTACTTTTATCCTCTTCGCCACTGATCGGCTCGTTAGCCGCTTGGGCGGTCACTCACGTCTCTGTTGTGCACTGCTGGCATGAACTGGCTCCTGAATATATCAAAACCTGCTCCAGTGTTGGTCAAGTCTGGTCTTGAAAGAGCTCACACATGGTGCCGTCACAACACATTCTGGCAGAATGTTCTAAGAGTTCACAAATCTCACTCCGAAAAAGTTACCCCTCACAGTTTTCTGGACTTGCGGCTTCTTCAACCTTGAGCTGTGACCTCTTGTGGGGCGAGCACCCGGCAGCTCCAGGCATGTACATTCGACTGAGTAGTGTCCTCTGAGATGTTTATACACTTTGATTAGGTCGCCCCTTGCCTATCTGTAGTATAAGCTGGGCAGTTGCAGGCGCTCTATATCTCTGGGTAGCTGAGGTACCGTAGTGCAGGCGCCAGTCTGGTGGCCCTTTGGACATTTTCAAATATCCGAGTCTCTAGCATATCTCGGGGACAATACTCCAGGGGAAGCACCTCACTCTTGTAGATCGTGACGCGCAATGGACCATCCAGATATCTAAATGACCTTCTTATAAAACCTACTCATTTCGTTGCCTGATTCATCTTCTCACAATGGCCTGAGAACTTAAGTTCGACATACATACCCATTAGATCAGGCTTGGTATTATTTTCCTTTAGGACATAGCGCGCCCCAAAGTTATAAACTACTGAAACATTTAAATCTTCCTATTCTGAGCATTTTGAACCCCATATACAGCCACTCCTTGACTTACGACAGGGTTAGGGGCCCAAATCCAGGTTGTAAGTCGAAAATGCAAAGATAATACATAGAAAATCTAAAATGGGTGTCTCTTTTTCTTCTCAGCACCACAAAACTCTCACTTTTAAGCTTGCCAGCCACTTTAAAGGGAATTACAAACGAAAATTTTGTCAGTACACAGCGCAATCACTAACGTCAGGACTCGAAAATACGTAATTTGAAAACATTTTGGTACGACTGGGGCGGTCGTATGTCCAGGTGGTCGTAAGCCGAGGAGTAGCTGTATACCAGGCAGAAATGGATAATAGCGCCACAATTGAACTTAATCGATTTTACATACTTTTCAGTCTTCGTCTGTGAGATGTTAATGTCGTGATTTTTTCGACCAATCAAAACTGAATTTTTTCAAAGGAAGGAGCCAAGGTACGGATTAGAAGAATTTAAATTTCAATGACCAGTGTGACAAAGGCCGTGGTAAAGGTTGGGTGTGATTCGTGCTCCTACAATTATTTTAAGTTTATTGCCGAGTTTTACGAGAAAGACGATCAAGCTATCCAATTCCTAAGTAATCACGGTGTTCTCCCTACGTCTGTTGAGTGCCTGCACTGTAAATTTAGAAAGAACAAGCATCAGAGGTTGACCCTGAACCTATCCCTGGTCCTTCCACTTTTAACTAAGGTATTGTACTTTCAGACATGGCGCTCCCCAAAGTTTACAACTAGGGAAACATTTAGATCTCATTATTTTGAGTCTTTTGAACCCCATTTATATTAGTTGGAAATTAATAGGATAGGTTAGGTTAGTTTAAGCTAAGCCTACCGGGGACCCAGGGGCAGAGACCCATGCTAGGGGTTAGGTTAGAAGACTCGTTTTCGTGTTTTCCTCCACCCAAAACCCCGATTTCCCAGGCTCTCCCCCATTATTGATGGAGGGGGGGCAAAAAACGAACAATTTCCTAAAAAAAAAAAAAATGAAGGGCAGATTCGTTTAAAACATACCAAAATACACTGAAAAAACATATTGGTCAACCCCATGAGACTCGTGTCCTAAAATAAAAATTTACTTCAGGTTCCATTAGGTTCTGTACATTGTTGTATTGTTTTTGTTAATAACCATCGTCCAAAGAATATATGTGGGAAAAAAAAAAAACCCAACAGATCGTTAGCCATCAGCTCCAGGATTCCCATAATTTACATATACCAAATTTTTATAAGTGCATCTGACCCTTAAAATCAGACTTAAAAGTGAACAAAGACCACCACATTTAAACAACCAATGAATACTGTACCTTCACCTATCCCCGAACTACCGTAAAGGCATCCAGAATTGAATTAATAGGCCAATTAAAGACCCCTTAACTACAAGGCCTCTTACCACCACTTGACGCGGAGCTGTTTACAAGAGAGACAGGACCATCATGTTAACATTATACCACGAACACTTACCTCAAAGCCCACAACTATTTTTAAATGTTAATCACTAATGTTAAACTTAAATTTTATTGTATATAATCTGTTGTTTTTATAATCTTATTTGTAGTTTTTTGGGTTAGTTTTTTTTGATAAGATGAAGACATGTTTGGTTGGTTCAGGCCTCCTAAAACAAATGGTTTGGCGTCCTATTTTGTGGTATTATTTTAACATTACTTAATTTTGAGATTAGTTCAAAGCAGGTGTTTGGATTGTAATTTGATTTGAATTTAATTTGACCATTTCCCCACTTACCAGCTAATTACCTGTTCGGGCAGTTAGTCTGTTCTTTGTTACGAACTTCATTACCCAGCGTTAAATTTAGGTAACTTTACTTCCCACAATAATTAAAGAACTAATTTTGGATTTTTATTTTAATATCTCAAAAAATCTGTAAATGAACTTACTTAAATTAATATTCTTGTCCTTCCCCACTACCAGTTTAAACCTTTTAGAAATAATGGAAAATACGTTAAATAACACCCGTTAATTTGTAAAAAAAAAAGAAATAAAAAAAACATTATACTTATTGCGATATCAGAAGTTGCAATACAATAGAAAATAATTATCAAGAACAGTTCGGTGCAAACCACAATAAATCTACGTTAATCTTAATATTCATCTATGTAAAAATTTTATAATTAAACTTAGAGTATGTATTAACTTTGTGGTACTATACATAGCGTGGTAGTAAATGAACATAGAATATCCTTAACACAGGTTACATTTTAACATGTCGTCAGTGAATCATTCGGCACAGAATTTAATTCACTATCATAATTTAAAGATTTATTTCAGTTCTTATACAATTAATACATTTATATTATTTCAAAGACTAATTGCAATTCTTGTACAATCTATAGACCAGCAACTTTTCTCTATGTTTTAAGATTTGTTGAAGATATTCGTCCAAAACTAGTGGAGTTATGTAATGACCTCGACAATGCTCCTTGAAGCACTGTTCCTTCCTTCCTTCTGTTCGTTCCTTAAGAAGCTGGAAAAATAAGTTAGATAGATAGATAGATATTCATTAAAATCGTCACACAAGTGTATATTGACTCAACATATATACACACAGTACAGTAGATAGAATAGATGCAGTATACAAAGAATTTACCTAAAGAGTGCGGGTTTGCTAACAATGGTAATAAATATATCGAATCAATCCAGTATGCACAAGAAGACGCAGAGTGCACAGTAAGACCCAGAGTGCACAGTAAGACCCAGAGTGCACACTACAACACTCACCTTATACACTGGCATCCTGATCTTTGCTCTTCACGGTCAGCTTAGGTCGACCTTTGGCGTTGACCCCGCAGGTGAGTGTTGCACAGTGCCTAGGTAGGTCAGCGATGACGTCACCCACTGCGTATTTGTCCCCGTTGAACAAACATGCTGATAAATAGTGAGTGTGTATAAAGCTTACCTGTATATGAATAAAGCTTACCTGTATATGTATAAAGCTTACCTGTATATGTATAAAGCTTACCTGTATATGAATAAAGCTTACCTGTATATGAATAAAGCTTACCTGTATATGAATAAAGCTTACCTGTATATGTATAAAGCTTACCTGTATATGAATAAAGCTTACCTGTATATGAATAAAGCTTACCTGTATATGTATAAAGCTTACCTGTGTATGTATAAAGCTTACCTGTATATGAATAAAGCTTACCTGTATATGAATAAAGCTTACCTGTATATGTATAAAGCTTACCTGTGTATGTATAAAGCTTACCTGTATATGAATAAAGCTTACCTGTATATGTATAACGCTTACCTGTATATGTATAAAGCTTACCTGTATATGAATAAGGCTTACCTGTATGTTTAAAGGCTACCTGTATGTTTAAAGCTTATCTGTAAATTAATAGCTTACCTGTATATGAATAAAGTTTACCTGTAAATTAATACAGCTTACCTGTATATGTATAAAGTTTACCTGGATATGTATAAAGCTTACCTGTATATGTATAAAGTTTCCTGTATATGTATAAAGTTTACCTGTAAATTAATAAAGCATATCTGTCTATGTATAAGGCTTACCTGTATATGAATAAAGCTTACTTGGGTATGTATAAAATTTAACTGCATATGTATAAAGCTTACCTGTATATGTATAAAGCTTACCTGTGTATGAATAAAGTTTACATGTATATGTATAAGGCTTACCTGTATATGCATAAAGCTTACCTGGGTATGTATAAAGTTTAACTGCATATGTATAAAGCTTACCTGTATATGTATAAAGCTTACCTGTACATGAATAAAGTTTATCTCTATACACATGACTAGAGGTCTTATTATCGAGTATAAACACACACTTACACACAATACACACACTTACACACAATACACACACTTACACACAATACACACACTTACACACAATACACACACTTACACACAATACACACACTTACACACAATACACACACTTACACACAATACACACACTTACACACAATACACACACTTACACACAATACACACACTTACACACAATACACACACTTACTTTAATACACACCTTACACACAATACACACTTACACACAATACACACATACACACAATACACACACTTACACACAATACACACACTTACACACAATACACACACTTACACACAATACACACACTTACACACAATACACACACTTACACACAATACACACACTTACACACAATACACACACTTACACACAATACACACACTTACACACAATACACACACTTACCTCTCTGAGCTTTGATCTTGTTATTATCTGCAAAAAAATGAGAACGAGAAAATTATTAAATATAGTTTACCTGTATTTAAACAACAGTTAAATACAACAGACCTAAAAAAACGAAAGGAAAAGTATGGCATTTGTTTGGTTTACCGCGGGAGGAAGAGGGAGGAGGAAGATGCACCACGGGAGGAATAGGGAAGAGTATATACTGTACAGGTACCACGGGAAGACAAAAACAGTCACTTACCACAGAAGCCAAGATGAGCCAAGTAGACATTGACAGACGTACACAGCGACACGTTCTCCAGCATACAGAGATTTGGATAGGTCTTATCGTCCGTCCCACACACCGGCCTCGCTATTTTGGGACACGCCCGGCAATCTGTCTCTCTTTCCCCTCCTGCGTGAGGAAATGATACTCAGTTCTGCTCGAAATGGAGAGTGAGAGAGAAATAAACACAATAATGAGATGATGTTTCCCCTGACATGAGAGAGGGGCTGTAGACGTACCACAAATACCCTCGGACAATAAAGTGATGCTGGAGTTGAGGCAGGCGGTGGCGGCATTGAGGAGGCAAGTGTTGTTGTAGGTGACGCCGTTGCTGCCACACACAGGTTCTATAACCTTCGGGCAGCCCCTGGGACACTCACCTAACCGAGAAGAAAGACTGGATAATAGTAATAGTTCAAATACGCTGTGAAAATTACAAGAATGTATCAATATTGCAACTATAAACGTCTGGCTCAAAACAAACTCACCCATCTGACCAAGAGGGTGTCAATGCAGCTGTTCGATACGTTTCCAGTGTGTCACGAAAATGTAGTGTCAGGTGAACTCTAACAAGATACATTCCCGCATTCACTGTTTTGTGCAAATATTGACTCATGAATAATAATCCAGACTCACCACAGGCACCGTAGTACTGAAGGGAAGCTTTGTCGGGGCCGCAGGGAGGTGTAGAGGCCGTCAGTATACACGGATTAGTGTAGGTTATGTCGTTGGTGCCACATACAAAGTCCTCTGCCGTGTCGCACTTGGGGCACGGCACCACTCTCTCCACTGGCACCACTGGCTCTGAGAATAATGATCAACAATTTACTCTTATTCAATACATGCAGCTCAAGGAAGAAGGCGGACTGGTTATGCCACAAGAAGGAGCACTGATGGGAAGAACACTGCCAGGAAAAAAAACACGATAAGCTACACCACAAAGGAAGGGTTTATATAAGTAGCTCTGATGGGCTATACAATTCTAATGGCTATAATATTTAAGACATTCTAGAAGATAAAAAAAAGATGAGAGTCAATCTTACCTGCTGGGGTACAACGGCCATCGCTACACAGGGCTGGGGATAAAAACATATATCAACTTTCCACTCCATTGTTAGCGTGTTTATCTTAGCTTTATTTGCTTTTATAATAACAGTTAATTTTGCTCATACAATAGTCTAAAATGACAACTTGTTCGAGAAGATCTTAGCTTCTTTATAGACGTTTATTGTAAGGCGTTTTAGATGCACGGAATAGCTACTACAGCATTAGCTATTCCCGGACTGTCATTATAAAATACGACATTGTACTGCGTCTTGGGAATAACTGTTGTATAACACAGTCTTCATAAAACAATAAAATTAGGAGAACTGTTATTTGGACACAATGCGGAAAAAAATAGTGTAGAAAATATATAAAAAAATTATGGAAAGAAAGAAAAGGAAAAGAAGTCGAACAGTCAACAATAAATAAGAATAACACAAAAATTGGGCCTGTTGTAAAGGTAATTTCTCCAGGACTCTGACACCACATGTAACAACCAGAGCAGCCGTATGCTTCTTCACTCCCAGCAAGGTGTTCTCATATTTGTACACGAAATACGACGAATTTAAGGTTCGTTTAAGTCTTAATTTTTGCACTTACAAAGGTGTAATCAACTTGTTCACCCCTATTTAAAGTATCTTATGAGTAATGATACTAAGATTTAAATCACGTTTGAGTAATTATCAATATTGTTACACGAAAGTCACCAATGGTTAATGAAATTGAACAGAGCCCACTTGTTAATGGGCAGAGCCAAAACAGGTTTCAACTAGGCACAATCCTTTTCAATTCTATCAAGACATATGTTTTGTTTTAGGTCCTATCCAAATTATTGTAGTATACGTGTATTATGTATAGAATTATTTTTATTATTATATAACAGTATTTATTGCTTTACATACCCCCAACTCTTCAATATTAATCAAAATATTCTCCATAAGCGGCCATGATCCGCATATTTTCAGTGGGAGAAATTACTGATTGGTTGTTTAGCTATTTGGACCTCTTGGGCGCTCCACAAGGCTAAGGCCTGATCGGGGCGTTTGCTTATCCCTCTGAAGCAGTGCCGGATTTAGACCTGTGGAGGCCCAAGGGCAGCCTCATTGTGGAGGCCCCCAGATTGTGGAGGCCCCTGGGCAGCTGCCCACTTTGCCCACTCCTGAATCCGGCCCTGCTCTGAAGGTGTCATGCGCACAACTCAGCAGAATCGTCTGCGCACACAGAATAGCTAACGCGTTAGCTATTCCGTGCATCTAAAACGCCTTATATTTCCGTAGCCTCCTTTGTAATAAGGTCAAGGGAGCTTACAACATCCATACCTATCTTATAAATAGGTTTCAGATTGTCATTTGTTTTATAAATATGTTATAATGGAGCCCAATTGCGTCCTTATGTTCACAGTCTTCGTATAGAGAAACCATCAAAATGATCTAATCCTTTATGGTTCCGTTAAGACAAATGTAGGTAATGTACTAATACTTTTAGTTCTCTTAAGACAAATGAAGGTGCTAATATTTATACTGCAGTTTCCTTAAGACAACTGTTGTTACTAGAGTTTATAGTTCTCTTAAAACAAATGAATATCCTAAAATCTACAATTCTATTTCAGTAAAGCCCTGAAAGGTCAACATTAGATACTTACAGGCACATTCACAGTTCTTTAGTAATGTAGGCTTGACAATAAACTCCTTGCCTCTCTTGTAGCACTTGAGAGCGAGGCAGTGCGCACGATCCTTCAGCACTACCTTACCTGGAGGGTGAATCTTCCTCCCTACTGCACATCCTGGGAAAATGAATAGGCGTATAGATAGTTCATTTGACGGTGATATAAACGAGTGATGGAGATATTTAATGCTTCATGTTAGTAATAATAATAAGTATTGGATGACTCGCTGTTGGAAAAAAAGAGTAATAGAACATTTTAGCCTCACAACTCACCTTGCTTCACCTTCTTGGCCAAGTATGCTGGGGTCGTCATCAGCAACACCTACCAGGAAACAACACATCAGACCATTTATCACCATTACTTGATTTCAATGAAGATGCCTAAAAAATTCCCACTTAACTGAATATACGAGAAATTATCTAACTAAATTAAGCTACAGCATAAATATACGTATCGTTCTTAACTAACACTCCCAGTCAATGTTTACGTACCAGTAGTAGTGTGGAGATGATGGGGTTGAGGGCGCGCATTTTCCCGTGGGTTACCTGCAGCAGAGCGACACCTGTTGGGGGTATGGAGGAAAGTAGTAAAAACCGATTCATCTAAAAAGAAATATAAAATAATGTAATCCTTAGATCTTAAGCTTTTTCAGCCATAATACATAGGTCTTATAGTTCAGTTCAGGACATTTTCTGTACACCAACAGCACTCTTTGAATACATCTTAATGGCCTTGTTTAAGTTAGAGGGAGGTTAGGTTAGGTTTAAGTTAGGTTAATTTAGGAATAGGTTTGGCTAGATTCCTGAGCCATAGTTCACTCCACAGACATTATCTCGTACTGTACATAGTGTAGACCTGGGAGGGGGTGAGGGTAGGGAGGCAGCGGGCTTTTGTGTCTGTCGCTATACATTACAATATTGTTTATTAATGAGGGACTTGTGATGTAACAACAGCCAGCAAACACACACACACACACACACACACACACACACACACACACACACACACACACACACACACCTGTTATTACATACATATTCACCTACATCCATACATTTACATGTACTGTATAATTAATTACATAAAGACCACCGTTTATCACCTACATGTACACGTGTACAGTATATATGGATCCACACACGTACTGTATCTGTGGTCTCTTAATTTGATCGAGACCTTCCGAGACTATACATATATTTATTAATTTCAGATCTGTTGGGAGGGAGACCAATAAATAAGAGATAACGTCTGTCGACCTAACCTAACCTAACCTAACCTAACCTAACCTTACCTTACCTAACCTGCTGAGGGAACAAGATCAGTGAGCTGTGTAGGATCTCTCCACTGTTCTTGATAATTTTGTCTAGAGGTATTGTGAAGCCATTATGAAAGTAAGATACAAGCATAAATCCTTCGGTGCACACACACACACACACACACACACACACAGACACACACACACACAAGACCCTCGGAGTTCCTGCACACGAGCTCCTCAGTGAATACACAACATTCATACTTCCCAAGCTCACCTATGCCTCCCCCACCTGGTCTTCCTCCCTAAATGCCACACAACGTAAACACCTAGAAAAAGTGCAAAAGAGGGCATGCAAGATTATTCTCTCCCCTTCCTACTCCACATATCAAGAAACGCTCAACACACTGACCCTTTCGACTCTCACTGACCATCACCACGACCTCATCTGCAAATTTGGTAAGAAGCTTCTACACCATCCCTCGACACCGGCTCCTACTACCACCTGAGATGCCTAGTCCGAGAATTGCTGTTCGACACCACAACCGCATCCAGCCCATACGTGCACGCTGACCTATAAGAACAGCCCAGTCCCAACCATTGTAAAAATTATCAATAACTTGTAATAAACCAGTGTATTCACTCCCAGTAAACACTACTCCTTGCACTGTCACTATGTTGAAATGAACTGTAGTTTGAGCTTTTCCCCATCTAGTTATTATATATCTTATTTGTGTCACTTATGTTACTTGTATATTATTTGTAATTCGAAACCCATTCCCCAAATATGTAACTGTAAATTTTCAGCCTTCTGGCTGCCAAGCTCTTTCAATAAACCGTTAATTATTATTATTATTATTATTATTATTATTATTATTACACACACACACACACACACACAGAGTATTCATTATCAAAGGTATATCACAGGTACATGATGTCACGTGTACAGGTAAAGGTACAGTTTTAGTTACGGATAGACAACAGGTACAAGTTTATATACAAGTACAATTATTACAGGTAAAGATATATGCCCAGGTACACACAGGTACAGCTAGAAGACATAGATGCTAAGCAAGCGTAGTTACAGGTAGAAGATGGGTTACAGTACAGGTAAGAATACAGTTACAGGAACTAATAATAAACAGGTATAAATATGTTATGAGATATTGATTTTTTGTTTACACTCATCAGCTGTTTATAGTAATGTTCCCTCTGGTGGAGTAACTCGTTTAACATACCTGGGTGAGGTGAGGTGGGAGGTGAGGGGTGGTTAGGTACAACGGTAGAAGAGGTAGAAGGACGTAGTAAAAATAATAGTAATGGTTTGTAGTAGTGGTAGGAATCGTCGTCGTAGTAGCAATAGAAGTAGTAGTAGTAGTAGTAGTTATAATTGTGGTGGCAGGAACAGCAGAAGCGTCAATCGTAGTAGTAGCAGTAGAAGTAGCGGACAAGAGAGACAGCTTCACCACTCCTCTCGTCACACACACACACACCTTACTGAAGAACATCTGAGCCTGACAATATCCCCAGGACTGAGGCCATTGTCCCGCCCTCACTTACACCTGTTGTAATTGACAAGCGCTACAGGTGCGCAACAAACACACACACACACACACACCCATAAGAATGGAGGAAACTGCAGCGGGCCTACTGGGCAGTCCCATTTACACCCAACCCCTATTGCTCATATAAGCATCCAACCTATGTTTGAAGCTATCCAGAGTATTCAAGTTAATGATGATATTTTGTAACTTGTTCCACTCGTCCACTACTCTGTTTCCAAACCAGTGTTTACCAATTTCGCGCCTAAATCTAAATTTGTCTAATTTAAAACCATTGTTACGAGTTCGCTCATGGTTGGATAGTTTGAGTACCTTTGTAATGTCCCCTTTGTTTAGCCCTGACTTTCATTTATACACCTCTATCATATCGCCCCTCGCTCTACGTCTCTCGAGGGAGTGCAAATTAAGATGCTTTAACCTGTCTCTGTACTCAAGGTTCCTAATGCCCGGGATTAGTCTTGTCATTCTCCTCTGGATTCTTTCCAAGGATTCTATATCCATTCTGTAATACCGTGACCAGAACTGAACTGCGTAATCCAGGTGAGGTCTCACAAGCGCAAGATATAATCTCAAGATGACCTCGCTAGTCTTGTAACTAACACTCCTTTATATGAACCCAAGTACATTATTAGCCTTGTTACGAGCAAAAACACATTGTTTACTTGGCTTAAGGTTCCTACTTATCATTACTCCTAAATCTCTCTCGCAGTCGGATTTCTCAATGGCATCGTTGTTCATCTGGTATCTGGTTTCCCTGTTTACGTCTCCTATACTGAGTACTTTACATTTGTCCACATTGAATTTCATCTGCCATTTTTCACACCATTCGTAATTTTTTTAGATCTTCCTGTAGTTTTGCTGAGTCATCGTCAGATTTAATTACACGTCCTATTTTAGTGTCATCATCAAATTTACTTATGTTGCTGTCTATGCCGATATCTATGTCGTTTATGTATATATATTAAATAATAATGGTCCAAGTACTGAGCCTTGGGGAACTCCACTAGTGACGTTGCTCCAATGGGACTTAGTGCCGTTAATGCTCACTCGCTGTTTCCTGTCCTGTAACCACGCCCTAATCCATTTTAGAATATTACCTTTAATGCCATGTGCTTCTACCTTTCTTATTAGACTTTCGTGGGGGACTCTGCCGAAGGCTTTACTAAAGTCGAGATATACCACATCATAATTATGCCCCTCGTCCACCGATTTGAAAACCGATGCAAAGAATGTTAATAAATTATTTAGACATGAACGCCAGCTTGTGAAGCCATGCTGGGAATCATTGATCAATTTGTGCTTCTCGAGGTGGTTTCGAATTGAGTTTGAAATGATTGATTCCAGTCATTTGCCTACAATTGATGTTAGACTGATTGGACGGTAGTTAGAGGATAGCGATCTATCCCCCTTCATGAAAATCGATATTACATTCGCTATCCTCCAGGATTCTGGTACTACACCTGTTTTTAAGGACATGTTAAACAACTTTGCTAAGGGCATACTAAGCTCTTCCTTACATTCCTTTAATACTCTGGCAAATATCTCACCGGGACCAGGCGACTTATTAGGCACGCATACACTCCAGGTTTATTGAGCTAGTAATTATTGATGGCGAAGAGGGAACTACCTGTGATTGGTTCGAGTTCTACGTATGTATGTATGTATGTCTGTATGTATGTATGTATGTATGTATGTATGTCTATGTATGTATGTATGTATGTATGTATGTATGTATGTATGTATTGCACAGTAGTTGCCTGAAGCTGACAGGTTTACGGTATCGTGGCGAGGGTTGTAATCAGCAACGCGCCGGGAACTGCCTCACTAGTGTATAATGTCACGGTTCATTATCTCTACGAGGACTTCAACACCTGCAGCTGAGGTATTTTTGCACCTCTATGGTAGCTCTCCGTGGTTTTCGAAGGTAACCAGTCAAGTTTTGTTTTCAACCTTCTCTCTATCCTTCAAATTCGCACGAACTGATTTCACTCAAAATGGTCGTAAAAATTATGACAGTCAGTCCTCTATGACCTGTTTCATTTTATTTTGAATTTTGATCACGTGTGGTTTACTTTTACTTTTATCCTCTTCACCACTGATCGGCTCGTTACTTGGGTGGTCGGTCACGTCTCTCTTACGCACTGTTGGCAAGTACTGGCTCCTGAATGTATCTGTACCTGCTCCAGTGTTGGTCAAGTCTGGCAAATTATTCCAAGAGTATACAACTTTCACCTCTAAAATGTTTGTCCAGACAGTTTTCTGAACTTGAGGCTTCTTCAATCTTAAGTTGTGACCTCCAGGTATGAACACTCGACTGAGTAATGTACTCTGAAGGGGTTATACACTTCTTGAGATGCTCGTTAGTTTATTAGTTTCTGTTCTAGACGATGAAGGTATACGATCAATGTACACAGGCAGCGCAGGTAAGGAAACTATGATAAACAGTCGACCAAGGACACAAAGGTTAAAATCCTTTACCATATGTCAGATATATAACCATGGTATCAAGTTAATAATTCTCAGCATTATAACCATAACTTGATACAGTTATGATTAAGGATAGAGTTATGAGACATTGTTCGCGCGCGCGCGTGTGTGTGTGTGTGTGTGTGTGTGTAGAGTATGGTATGTTTAAATATAATCTGTTTTGGTTATATGTGGAATTATATAACTGTACGCAACCCCCCGTAACACACACACACATACACCTGGGTAACAAAGAGCAGTACTGTCAGACTTATTTACGGCAACAGGTACACGCCACATCCCTACACCACCCTGATTACCAACACACTGACATGACACATCACACCTAACCTGCACCCGCGACATTCACCTCACCTCATGGCCGAACTGAACCTGAAACCTCTACCTATATAGAACGTTCAGAGGTGTATCAAGAGTGGAGCCAATAGCATCCTTCCAGCAGTATATTACTGGTGTTCCAGTCTAGTAAATACATCTTAGACCCACAGGTGTTCACAGGTGTCCTATCACATAAACCACATAGCCCCTACAGGTGTAATTAATGGTCACTTTTACTTATTTATTTTCATCCTCTTCGCCACTGTTCAGTTTGTTAACCATTTGAGCGATCGGCCACGTCTCTGTTACACACTGACGGCAAGTACTGGGTATATATTGTCTCCTGAATGTATCTACTTGATGCCGTCTTTATAAACTGGTAAATACTCAGGATATTGTTTGTATGCTCGTGTGTGAGTCTGTGTCTGAGAACAATGGCAGGTATATTCCTTAACTTAATACCAACGGTTTTATCTCTGGCTTATGATAAGGAGTTTAATCTTTGTGTTAACGTGGTTTTGTGGACTCTCCCTGGTCAGGTCGACTTATTGTTTACCATAGTTTGTATACTTGTACTGTCTATGCACATTGTTTGTAAACCTGAGCTGTATTTGTATAGTTTGTATACCTATCTTTCCTTCCTTTCAATAAATCTTAAAATACAAAAAAACGAACAAACACTTTTTTGCGGTCAATATTTAGAAGTTGCCATACACGGAAAATTATCATGGAAAAGGGGTTTTTATAGCGTATTTCATTGTGTTTTATAGCCAATTTGAACTTCATATCCGTCGGAAATGAATAGTAATGGAGTTATGACCTCCCCCACCATTACCAACAATATTGGTTGCACAAAGTGGGCAGAAGTTTGAAGTAGAGAGAAATTATGGGGTAAAAACACGAAACTTCCTAACCAGAGAAACCAGAAGAACTGACCCCAGTGTGTAAAAAAACTTACCTTGAGGGGTGTCTGTCACTTACTGCATTGCCTAGTGTGTCGATCTTCACGATACTGACAGTCTGAATCACACCTTGGACACTTGACTGAAGAAGGGATGAACTCCATGAGCCCTTAAGATATCAACAGCTGCGACTCCGTTCTAAAAAAAACTCGCTGAATTACACGCCAATCCACCAAGGAGCGACCTTCAAAGACTGACGCCATCTTGCAACTGCGCCATGCTTACAATTCTTCCGCTGATTGGCTCAACAGTATCACGTAACATCCAAACTTCCGCTAATTGGCTTAAAAGTATCACGTAACATCCAAACTTCCGCTGATTGGCTCAAAAGTATCACATAACATCTAAACTTCCGCTAATTGGCTTAAAAGTATCACGTAACATCCAAACTTTCGCTGATTGGCTGGGTAATAAGTAAACAATGGATTTCCCCCTATTATTTTTGTGTGTTATATTTAAGAGATATATAAAAGACTAAATAACTCGAAAATTATAAATTTCCAAAAGTAGGCATATAATCAGTACTTTTATATAACGAGTACTTGTAGAATATATATATATACATACAGGGCCATCAAAAAAGAACGACCAGTGAGTAAATGGTTATATCTTACAGTCTGAATATTCTTTTTTTTACCACCCTGTAGATGGAGTCTTTGATAAGGGTAAAATATGATTACAAATACCCATGAAGTTTTTTTTGACAAGGCTGTGGAACTAACCTAACCTAACCACAGACAAAGATGAATATTGATAAATACACAGCAATTCAACTTTATGGTGTTTCATGAACTACGAGTGACTGGAGAGACTGTTAGGTGGTGCTTCATGAACTACGAGTGACTGGAGAGACTGTTAGGTGGTGCTTCATGAACTACGAGTGACTGGAGAGACTGTTAGGTGGTGCTTCATGAACTACGAGTGACTGGAGAGACTGATAGGTGGTGCTTCATGAACTACGAGTGACTGGAGAGACTGTTAGGTGGTGCTTCATGAACTACGAGTGACTGGGGAGACTGTTAGGTGGTGCTTCATGAACTACGAGTGACATGGAGAGACTGTTAGGTGGTGCTTAATGAACTACGCGTGACTGGAGAGACTGTTAGGTGGTGCTTCATGAACTACGAGTGACTGGAGAGACTGTTAGGTGGTGCTTCATGAACTACGAGTGACTGGAGAGACTGTTAGGTAGTGCTTCATGAACTACGAGTGACTGGAGAGACTGTTAGGTGGTGCTTCATGAACTACGAGTGACTGGAGAGACTGTTAGGTGGTGCTTCATGAACTACGAGTGACTGGAGAGACTGTTAGCTGGTGCTTCAATGACTACGAGTGACTGGAAAGACTGTTAGGTGGTGCTTCAATGACTACGAGTGACTGGAGAGACTGTTAGGTAGTGCTTCATGAACTACGAGTGACTGGAGAGACTGTTAGGTAGTGCTTCATGAACTACGAGTGACTGGAAAGACTGTTAGGTGGTGCTTCATGAACTACGAGTGACTGGAGAGACTGTTAGGTGGTGCTTCAATGACTACGAGTGACTGGAAAGACTGTTAAGTGGTGTTTCAATGACTACGAGTGACTGGAGAGACTGTTAGGTAGTGCTTGAGTGACTGAGACTGTGACTACGAGTGACTGGAGAGACTGTTAGATGGTGCTTCAATGACTACGAGTGACTGGAAAGACTGTTAGGTGGTGCTTCAATGACTACGAGTGACTGGAGAGACTGTTAGGTAGTGCTTCATGAACTACGAGTGACTGGAGAGACTGTTAGGTGGTGCTTCATGAACTACGAGTGACTGGGGAGACTGTTAGGTGGTGCTTCATGAACTACGAGTGACTGGAGAGACTGTTAGGTGGTGCTTCAATGACTACGAGTGACTGGAGAGACTGTTAGTGGTGTTTCAATGACTACGAGTGACTGGAGAGACTGTTAGGTAGTGCTTCATGAACTACGAGTGACTGGAGAGACTGTTAGGTGGTGCTTCATGAACTACGAGTGACTGGAGAGACTGTTAGGTACTGCTTCATGAACTACGAGTGACTGGAGAGACTGTTAGGTGGTGCTTCATGAACTACGAGTGACTGGAGAGACTGTTAGCTGGTGCTTCAATGACTACGAGTGACTGGAAAGACTGTTAGGTGGTGCTTCAATGACTACGAGTGACTGGAGAGACTGTTAGGTAGTGCTTCATGAACTACGAGTGACTGGAGAGACTGTTAGGTAGTGCTTCATGAACTACGAGTGACTGGAAAGACTGTTAGGTGGTGCTTCATGAACTACGAGTGACTGGAGAGACTGTTAGGTGGTGCTTCAATGACTACGAGTGACTGGAAAGACTGTTAAGTGGTGTTTCAATGACTACGAGTGACTGGAGAGACTGTTAGGTAGTGCTTCATGAACTATGAGTGACTGGAGAGACTGTTAGGTGGTGCTTCATGACCTACGAGTGACTGGAGAGACTGTTAGATGGTGCTTCATGAGCTCCGAGTGACTGGAGACTGTTGGGTGCTTCAGGACCTGTGTTACGTGTTCCTTCTCCTACAGCTTCGTCGCCAACTCCCTCAGGAGGTCCCTACAGACGACTGGGTCTAGGTTCTTGGCTGTAACATACATGAATTTTGGTTACATAACATACAGGTTACCCCCAAAAATCGCCTCTATTGACATGTTTATCTTTCTGCTCTATGATAATGATTAAAAGAGAGAGAGAGAGAGAGAGAGAGAGAGAGAGAGAGAGAGAGAGAGAGAGTAAAAGTTCTCTCACGACTCACCAAGTAAACAGAGATAGAACCAGTCCCCCAGATCGTAGCTGTGACAGATGGCTCTCAGATGGACTGTGGGGGTGAAGCGAGCGTGGTTGTGGAGTACCAGGAGGCGAACTTCAGGGTGGAAGGTGCATAAGCGGAGGAGGAGACCCAGGCCAGACACCACCGCCAAACACACGAACCTAAAGTAATATGACACCACAGTTAAACTTACGAGCCTAAATACAAAACCACGGTTAAACTCACGAGCCTAAAGTAACATAACGAAACATAACGAATTATAACGAAACATAACGAAACAGTCTCTCACCAGAACCAGAAGAAGAGGTAGATCTTCTCGTTGAGTATGTTGAGGGGGAGAACGCAGAGAGTATCGTGGCGGGCGAGAGAACCAGAGGGACCAAACATGTAGAAGGAGCATTTGGCCACCTTGGGGAACACCACCTCCTCTTCCTCCTCCTGTAGCTCATTACCTGCCCTTATAACCCGTAATCCGTAGTCCAAGAACCTATATCCTAGCAACCTGAAGACACATATACACACAGAGACGAACATACACGCACACATGCATACACACATACACACCGAAAGAGAGAAAGTCGAATTATTGATGGTAATGGTAAACTGGAGACTGACTGACTGACTGACTTAATATTTGACTGATTGACTGTATTATCCGACTGAGTTTATAATTGATTGTATTATCTGACTGACTTTATAATTGACTGACTTTTTTGCTTCAGTCTTTTTCTGTCTCTTCCCCTCACACCTATTTCTTCTGTCTGTCTCTCTGTCCTATATCCGTCTGTCTGTCTCTCTATCTGTCTACCTATCAGTTTTTCTTTCCATCTGTCTCTTTCTTTCTTTATCTCTGTCTAACTGTCTGAAGGCCCATCTATACGTCTGTTTTATCTGTCTGTCTGTTCATCGGTTCCTCCTCTGTCTGTCCACGTTTGTATTTCTGCATCTGTCTTTCTTTTTGTCTATATCATTGCTTCTCTGTCTAAATCTATATTCATCCACCTGCCTGTCTCTCTACCTGTCTAATTAATTGTCTCTCAGTCTGTCTAAGTGAGTATTTCTTGCATCTACCTGTCCCTCTACCTGTCTATCTGTCTCACTCAGAACCGAAGACTCACCTGTCAGTTAAGTACATCTGGCTCACGACGTTGACGAAATTAAGAACCTCGCACAGGAAGAACTTGTACGCGTAGTTAGTATGTAGTAGACGGAAATTCCCACCGAAGTACTGCTTGATGGTGGCCAGGTGATCACTACTGACGGAGGCGGTGAAGGAGGAGGGGTTCAGGTCTTGGGTGAGTTGTTGTATTCGTCCACCCTCCCACATCTTCCACAGGTAACCCGGGGTGTAGAACATCAGTGTCTGCAAAAATGGGTAATGTAAAGTTTCACACATACATACATACATACATACATACATAAATACATACATGAAGCTGGACTTAATAACTTCTATTTCTTCCCCGTAAACTAACCAAACGATTTAGAGCAGAAAAAATTTGGAGCCTTTGTGACTGCCTCCAGAACCCTGACTCATACTAAATGTCCAGATTTCAGATTCCATATTTAACCTTCACATACAGGCCCCTAGCAGCCGTCACCACCACATACGTCACTCCTCTTACGAGAAGCTCTTGAAGTCTGTAGTCAATAGGTAGAATTCACCAGTTACTTATATTTCAGCAAAGTTTCAAATTTCACGACAGGAAATTTATATATAGGTTGTAATATTTATAATTATTGTTATTATTTCTCTCCGATTGTTATCTTGGTGTTGATTCTAAAACATCTCAAGTGAATTAAGAGTATTGAATAATCTCTCAAGGATTTAAACAAGTGAAGTATATTTGTATAAGTTCTTGAAATGTATAGATGATATAAAAAACAAAGCACTGCCTGAATTAGGAATAATTGATTATGAAACGTAATGTAATCCCCCTGGGCTCTTATAAACGTATTAATCGTCTGAGAAGGAGAATTTAATTAGCCCTTTTAGGAAGATAGTTTAAACCATCGTCACCAAAGAGATATCCATTGTCCTCAAAGGGTTAAATCGTCATCCTCAAAGGGTTACACTATCGTCTTCAAAAATAGCTAAAACAACGTTCTCAAAGGGTTAAAACATCGTCTTTAAAGGATTAAATCGTCATCCTCAAAGGGTTAAATTAGTCTTCAAAAACTGTTATATCTTCTTCACTTCCCTCTCTCTCTCTCTCTCTCTCTCTCCAGCACTCACCTGAAGAAGAACAAAGAAAATCCACTGGTAGTATTTGTGATGCCTGACGACGTCCTGGCCACTACCTGAGGAGCTGCCCACACCTGGGTATGCCTCCTCTACCTTCGCTGACGTCAACTGCAGGGTGAACGTCGATTGAATCCAACAGTACAGGTCAATCGTTCTACTGTTCATTCCCTGAGCTAGACAGTCGATAGGGTGACCCAAGTACTGCCTGAGGCCCACCAGAAGGCAGGAGATCGCCAGGAACAAGGTGGTGACTCGGTGGTGCAGGGAAAAGATGATGTTGTCCATCGTGTAGGAGGTCATGGTGCCACCTACAGCAGTGACAACAGTAGATGACAACAGTAGATGACAACAGTAGATGACAACAGTAGATGACAACAGTACCAACAAGCTCACACCACCACTCAGGAAGGCTCGAGTTCAACTAATACCTCACGTACACTCAGACAAACACACGTTACCAGGACACACACTCACTTCCTGTCGGAACGTGGGCCACACACTTGGGTTCTAGACGAAAGTGATGGTTAACTTAGCGGGGAATTTTTGTGAGTGAAATAAAAAAAAAAAAAAACACAGACTCTGACGATCGTTTCCACCCAAGCCAGAGACCACTGTTGCACGAGGTAATGTAATGTTGTTTTTTGGAATACTGGAGAAGAGAGAG